GAATTGCAGTGAATTCCAAGTAAATTTCAAATGTAAGGCCAGAATAGCCAAAATGAAAACAGAATTGCCTTGGAGAATTTTTAAATTCGGTTACTTTGTCCTAAACTTTTAATTGTATATTAAATTCCTAGCTATTCTTACTTTAGCGAATAATCTGTAAATTTTTATATTAAATTTTTTAAAATAATTTATTTTGCTTCTTTTGTGCTGTCAGTTTGGCATATAAGTAAAGGTTATAAGTGAAAAATGTGCAGTTTGAATTCTCTTTATTTCTGCCACTAAGTATGACAGTCTTCTGAGTTGGAAAGGGGGTGAATATTTGTATCCATATGAGCAGGTCATAGACACTGGAATATCACGTGTAAGAGGGTTTCTTCAAGCACCATGAGCACTTCAATACCTTGAAGTATGGGCAGCGTTACAGTTTGAAATGGTGCACATACATGCAGCGCCGGTGCAAGGATTTTTGCCATCCTAGGCAAACAGAAATTTGCTGCCCCCACTTACATGTTCTGCCCACCGTGTGACATCACAATGCCCCACCCATATAATCTGCCATATGGGCCAACACCAGTGCTGCACACAATGTCTTTTATCTGAAAAGGCAGTGTGTTTACATCTATTTTTTGGTGCCACTTATACAGCTCAGTCTCGGCCCCCAGGGACTGACTGTGAGTATGCCTACAAGGCCTGCACATAAGTCCACTTACATGGCCCACCCATGAGTGGTGTCTGGGAGCCGGAATGTGACGTCACATTACGGCTCCCAGGACCTGTACACGGTGCGTGAGAGCGCTATACAGGAAGAGAGTGCATGTAGAGTGGAGCTCCCTCAGAAGAGCGCAGCACCAGTCCACTGGACCCCAGAATCCACCACAGTTCTCCAGCAGGTAGGGAGACTGGGTGGGGTGAGTATATTCTCTAAGCCCCACTTCCCCTAATACTGTCCCTCACTCCCCCACAATACTGCCCCATAATACTGTCCCTATCCCCCCACAATACTGCCCCGTTCCATAATACTGTCCCTATCCCCCCACAATACTGCCCCATAATACTGATCCTATCCCCCCACAATACTGCCCCTTAATCCTGTCCCTATCCCCCACAATACTGCCCCTGCACCATAATCCTGTCCCTATCCCCTTACAATACTGCCCCTGCCCCATAATACTGTCCCTCACTCCCCCACAATACTGCCCCATAATACTGTACCTATCCCACACTATACTGCCCCATAATACTGTCCCTATCCCCCCACAATACTACCCCATAATGCTGTCTCTTTTCCTCCACAATACTGCCCCTATCCCCCCATAATACTGCCCCTATCCCCCATAAAACTGTCCCTGTTCACCTCCCACCACAGCCCCAGTCTCCCACAATACTGCCTCTACCCCTCACTAAGCCCCAATCCCCCACAATACTGTTCCCATCTCCTCTCCAATGCCCCAATCCCCTGAAATACTGCCCCTCTCCTACCACACTAAAGAATCAATCCACCACAATACAGCCCTTGTCCCCACACTAAAGAATCAATCCGCCCTGTCCCCATCAGAATAAATCAGAATTTTTTGTGATATTTCAAAGTGTGAGGCGCATGATGACAGTCCTTCATGTACTGTAAAGATTTTAATCCCAATCCTTTTATAGTTTCTTGAATATAGTGGTAGTAAAAATAGAAACATAGAAACATAGAATGTGACGGCAGATAAGAACCATTCGGCCCATCTAGTCTGCCCAATTTTCTAAATACTTTCATTAGTCCCTAGTCTTATCTTATAGTTAGGATAGCCTTATGCCTATCCCACGCATGCTTAAACTCCTTTACTGTGTTAACCTCTACCACTTCAGCTGGAAGGCTATTCCATGCATCCACTACCCTCTCAGTAAAGTAAGATGTGGCGCTTACGGAAATAGTTTAGAACATAAAATTTGTAGAGCTGCTACCGCCAATGTGCCGTCCTCTCACAACCTAGCACATGCAGAATCAGTTGGATAGATGTACTGAGTGGTGTGCAAAAACAATCCCAGAGTGAAGTGGAGCTCTCAAAGGATTTTAGAAAATAACTTACCCCCCTTGGAACTCTTGGTAACCCACAAGGGGAATAAAGTAATAGTGTAGAATATTTTTTAAATGGTAGAAGTAACTCAATAGGGATTCACTCACGTGGTTCTGAGCCTAGACAGGACCGGCTCAGATCGCTCAAGTGGACGTGTATTGGAGGAAACACGGATCCTTTAGATGGTGTTGCTTATAGTCTCACTCTGGAAAGGTGACAAATGTCAATATCTAGTGTAGTAAGTCTGAGGTACCAATATATGTGGATAAATAGATGAAACTGCTCACCTTATATAGAGCCTTGGACTTGGCTCTAAGTTAAACAGCACTTGTGTCTTTAAGAGGACACATACCCTTCTTTAGATGAAGCAGGAACTCTGGATGTAGAATGTTGGATGCCACAGGAAAAGTTATGGATAAAAAAAATCAAATTTATTGAATAAAAAATACACAGTTAAAACAATAAATGATAAAAGTCAAAAGTCCAATCCTGTGGCTAGTCCCGAGACGCGTTTTGCCTTGTCGGCTTTTTAAACACACCGATTGAAGTAAATGCCTGGTAGTAGATAATGTATCAGGAGTTATCTTCCGTTTTTGCTGAGGCAGCCAGATCAAGGAAGATAGGTCAAGGATTCCACAACAGTAGCTCTCTATTGCAACCCATTGGGGGGTATATGTATACGAGTTTGCGCTAACTATATTAGTTAGGATTGCCGCGTTAGAATATATTTTCAATTTCGGGGACCCCATGCCACCACATTTCACTTGCCTCAATAGTAATCCTTTTGGGACTCGGGGATGTTCCCCTCCCCAACTGAAGCGTAATAGTATCGCCTGCAAGGCTGTAATATACGTTTGCGGAATCTTAATCTGTAAGGACCTAAATAGATAAAGGATTTTTGGTAAGATATGCATCTTCACTGCCGCTATTTTCCCTACCCAAGATAGTAACGCGTTTTCCCATGATTTCAATTGCTTTTCAATATCTTTAAATAATTTTGTGTAATTTGCAGAAAATAGTTCTTTTTCTTTTTTTGTAAATCTGATTCCAAGATACACGACATAGTCTTCCCTCCAGTCGAAGTGGCGATCTAATTTAAATTTTTCTTCCAGTGGTTTAGATGTGTTAAGGCATATTGCTTGTGATTTGGTGATATTAAGTTTGTAATAGGAATATTGTCCGTATGTTTGTAATTCTTTAAGTAAGATAGGTAAGGTAATGTGTGGTTGAGTAAGAGTTAATAAAATATCATCGTCAAAGATGTTAAGTTTGTATTCCCCTAGTCCCACCCGCACTCTGTGTATGTCTCTATTTTGTCGTATAGCTATAGCTAAAGGCTCTAAGGCCAGAACATAACGCATGGGAGATAGGGGACAACCCTGTTGTGTCCCATTTGTGATGTTGAAGGGTTTTGAGCAAAAACCGGAATTCATTATTGTAGCTGTAGGGTTACTGTAGAGGGCTTTGACCACTGAAAGAAATAAAGTGGGGAATCCATATGCAGTCAGGGCTTCGTGGAGAAAATGCCATTTCAGGCGGTCAAAGGCCATTTCGGCGTCTAAAGATAGCATGATGCTTTCTTGTTTAGATTATTTTAAAATGTTATAGATATCTAATACTTTCCTTGTGTTGTCTGTCCCCTGCCTGCCTGCCACAAATCCCACCTGATCTGTATGTATTAAAGTGGGTAGGATAGATTTAAGTCTTTCTGCATATATTTTTGCATATAATTTATCATCTATATTCAGCAACGATATAGGTCTAAGATTCTGGCATATAGTTGGAGGTTTCCCTGGTTTAGGGATAGTGATAACATGTGCCGATAAAAATTCAATCAGGAAAATTCCTGTTTTAGTTCCTTCGTTAAAGAAATGGGTGAGAGCTGTAGCCAATGAATCTTTAAATGTAGTATAGTACAGGTCGGTAAATCCGTCAGGGCCTGGTGCTTTCCCCTTGGGCATTCCATTTATATGTTTTATTACCTCTGCTATAAGCTGTGTTAATTTGTGTTCTTATATAGTAGGCAGGTATAGTTTATCTAGATATTGACGTATGGTGGCAGAAGTAGGTTGTGGTGTATTTTTTTGATCTTTCAGATTATATGATGTACTGTAATAGCTTGCGAATTCGTCTCATATCTGGTTTGGTTGGAGTATCTTTTGTCCAGTCTTTGAGAGTAAAAATGGAATTCTAGATTGTGTTTGCTTATCTCGTAGTCTCTGAGCTAATATTCTCGTGGCTTTATTACCCATAGAATATGATGTGGCCTTGAGTTTTTTCAGTGCAATACTAGCTTGTTGCAGATTAATTTTGTTGATATAATTTTGTGTTTGTTGTATATTGTCTTGCAACTGTGGAGTTGGATTTGCCTGGTTTTGCCTGTGGAGGTTCTGAGCCTTTTTAAGAAGATTCAGCAGAGCAATTTGGGTAGACTTCTTGAGATATGAAGCTCTACTTAATAAGAGTCCCTGTATTACAAGTTTATGTGCTAACCATAATGTCGGAGGATTGATATCCCCAGAATTATTTGAAATATTGGTGTAATTATATTAATTTCTACTGTGATACACATTGCTTATGTGTTTTCAGATTTGTCCCTAAATAGGAGGGTGCTCTAAAGTCTTTAACTATTGTGCACACCTACTTTCCCCTCTCCTTTGATGATTCAGAACACTTTGTTGTCAGAATTAAAAACGAAGGAGGATATATCATATTTTCTGTTGCTTTGCCATTACCGTTGAATGATTATACTTAGGAGGTCATTTCAGTAATGAGGGTTTCTACCTTTGTTAGGCAGATTCCTCTACCTTATTTGTATTTTTTTTTATATATATTGGCAACATTTAGATTTGACACTCCCATATTTATACTTGCCTACAGTATCCAATCATGTTCTGCTCCGTAATGAAATATTTGGAAAAAAAAGACTCGGAGACAAATGTGATTTGCGAGATTCGGTCCTTCTTTCACTACTTTGGAGTTTGGATTTACATAAATCTTTATAGAAACCACATGGTTCCAACATGGGAAGATGCCTCCGTATAATATTGACAATTTCCCAAAATGTTCACTGTGATTCTGTACAGAAAATAGGAAGCTTATTTGCATATTCTGAAACCCCCACGTTCTGATTTAAGTTCCTAATTTACTATGTTTTTGTGGGTTTTGGGGCTTTTTATTCCCTTTACAATTCGAGAGAATTTCAATCTCTATTTTTTGCCATTTCGTAACCTCTACAAAATTGGGGTAGCCTCATCATCTAACGAGGTGCAATTTCATCTAAGTCTAATAAATTCTCCCAAGAGAACAGCTTTAAATGTATGTGGAGGATATCCCCTGTCATACTCTGCCCATTGCCATTGCAGCCCTCTGGGCATTTACCTGGTTTGCCTGATTGCCAGTCCAGACCTGGTTAAAGTAACTCCACCTCCGGAAGTATCATTAGCCAACCAGGAAAGGAAAGTTCCTGGCTGGCTAATAGTAATTCTGTGCATTAAAGGTGTCTGTCAACAACACACATAGCATTCTGGCGACAGATAACCAATGGCGCCACAACCCCCCTCGCCCCCCTTTCCCTGTGCCCTCACACACACAGCACCCTTACACACATCACCCTCACACACACATCACCCTCACTCACACACACTACACACCTCACACACACAGCACCCTCACACACACACATACCCCTCACACAGCACCCTCACACACACAATGTACACCTCACACACAGCATCCTCACACACCTCATACACACATGCTGCACACACACACACATACACACTATACTCCTCACAAATACACACTACACCCTTCACACACTCTGGATCATCTACACATATACACATACTAGATCTCCTATACACACTCTGGGTCCTTCAAACACACACTAGATCCCCTACACACACACACTGCACCACCTACACACACACACTACATTTCTGACATACACACTCTGGATCCCCTATGCACACACTAGATTCCTTGTAAGCAAACACATACTACATTCCCTAAACACACACTCTCTACAACCCCTGCACACACTACATAACCTTTACAAACACACACTACAGCCCTTATGCACACACTCACTACATCCCCTATACACACTATGTCCCCTATACACACACTCTCTAAAGCACCTAGACACACATACATTGCATTACACCACAAACACAACATGACTGAAACCAACCTATTAACACAAAACCACACCACAATCAGCTCACTCTACACACATGCATTCCCATAAGCAGGCTCCAAACACATGCACAATACTCTTTCCTGGCATTTTTGTCTCCTGGTTTATTTTATGCCATTTATGGAGACACCAGAGACAAGTTTCAAGCAAACACAACGCAAGCATGTTATAAAATTTGCTAGCGCTGTGCAGAACAAATACAGGGCCTTTTTCTCATGCTAAAGCTCTTGAGCAGACCTCTGCACATGATCTGCCCTGGAAGAGCATTGAACCAACATGCTCACTTTGAGATGGGGCGTGCTTGTCATTGGGGATGACAAAACACACCCTATCGGGACTGCCCCCTTTTCAGTGGGCCGCTGCGATAAAAAAATGCCCGGGCTGACTTTTTTTTACCAGTCCAGGCCTGCTCTTGACTATACTTGAATAATATATGAAAGATCAATTTCTCTTCAATCCGTTGCTAATTTTTTATTTTACATGTATGTGTCAAGGGCACTCTGAGCAATGTAACCACTACATTGGGCACCAAGGCACACGTGACATTATAGTTGAAATGTTGATTTTCTTCTTCCACAAACTATGTTCAACGCAACGACAGAAAAGGCCGTAGCTTCTTCTATCTATCTCCATTACTGACAATGATGGAGGCGCTCAGTTCCAGGATGATTGTGATTACAACAATGTGGATTTTTTTCTAAATCTTTATTTTTCATGCGATGAAAAGACAGACATATTGGTAATACTGCAACCATATGTTTATGGTTCACAGAAACATTCCACATTGAATATACTGTTGAGGTATATTTATCATTTATTTTAAATTATATTGGGCTGGGATGTTGTAACGGGGCCTTAACTGTAGGAGTTTTGGGTGAGTATTCACCTGTCTATGTGTGCCAGCGCGAGTATCTTGGAGCCATCTAGCGCGAGAAGCGTGTAGTTTCTGATAAGTCTTTGTCTGTGGGGGTCAAACCCCAATCTGATCCCTTAAATCTATTTGATTATGGTGCTCTATGTGGAGTCCAGGTCTAGAGCCGTGTTTGGTGTGTGGGGCGTTGAAACTTTCCCTTCAGCGGCTCCCTGTGTGGTTTTAGTCTGTGTCTATTATACCTTCCTTCGGAAGCTGCATGGCTATCGCCTGGATTGGAGGTGCGCTGTGTGGCTTGACTATTTATAGTGATGAAGGTGGCTGTGCGTAAGCGCAAGGTGATGAATGTCTGAGTCTAGTAGGTGTCTAGGTGGATGGGAGCTGTATGAAAGCCTGTCTGCGCCCGGAAGGCAAAGAGCCAACTGTGTGAGGTGAGGCAGAAAGCGGTAGGCTATGTGTGTGTGTAGAGCTGCCGTGCTGGTAGTACCCTGTTACCCCGGGGCAGGGGGGGGGGGGACGAGGGACGCCACCAGAGCCGGTTGGTGGAGCCTCCAACGGGTCGCTATCCCATTGTAACAAAAAGGGTGAACCAGAAATACAGAAGCTTGCAAACGTTGCTAAACATTTTAGTGAGAGAGTCTTAGTAAGAGTCCAAGATACCCAGACCAGGCGCGTTGCTTCAGGTCTTGGTGCCTCCATGGGGTCTGGGTGCAACTGCTGTGTCTGCTTCCACCCTCCCGGGTCGATGGCCTGGTTGTGGCATTAAAGTTGTCGACAGAGTTGGGAGTCCCAGTGCTGCCATTAGAGCAGGGCCCTCAGAGGGGTCCATGGCCTTATAATGCTTGTTGTCTTTGGTAACCCATAGGGTCCCCGGAGTCGACCACTTGTAGGCGATGCCTGCTGCGTGGAGCGGTTTAGTAAGTGGTTGCATTTGTTTGCGCCATATTAGTGTGGCTCTGCTTAAGTTCTGATAAAAGGATAGTCGACAATCCTCAAATTCCATAGGAGTCTTTCCCTGTAGCGCTGCTAAGAGTCCCAATTTGTCTGACATGGACTGGCACCGTAGTATGATGTCTCGCGGGGCTGCGCAATTTCACAATTCTATAGACTCCATCAAATAAGGTTTTGGCTTGTCTGGCTGGAAGTAGCGCGGCTACGAGGCGTCTGAAGAAATGTGGTAGTTCCTCCAGCGGTACGGATTCCTGTACCCCTCTGATTTTGACGTTTTTGCGTCTCCCCCTGTCATCCAGTAGGTTGACTTGTCTGGATAGGGTAGTCTGTGTGGTGTGTAGTTGTTGTACTTTCTCCCCCAGCTCTTGTAGGCCCTGTCTCAGGGTCTCCACTTCATTCTCTGTTGCTTGTGTACGTGCTGTCACTGCATGTACATCACCTTTTAGCACTGCCAGGTCAGCCACCCACATTTGCCTGAGGTTCTGTTGCAGGCCTGTCAGCATGGCCTGGATATCACTCCTGGATGCTGGGGCATTATCCTCCGTTACCCGTGGGTGAGCTGTATGACAGGGAGTGAGTGGTGGGCTATCTGGTGGTTCCCCTTCCTCTGAGGGTAGTGGGGAGGTGTCTTGCTTGGACGTGGTCCGCGTCTGGTCTATGTCGTGCTGTGGCTTTGGGGTATGCGTGGATGGTTTCTGAGACTTGCGCCCCATCTCACCTGTGTGGTACCAGTCTTCCAATTCAGGTGAGCCCCAGGGCCAGACTCCCTCCCTGAGACTCTCTGCCATCTGCCCGCCCCCGTGGTAGGCCTTGCCGTGTTGGCGTTGAGTTTTGGAGCTGGGCGTAAGAAAAAACGGCATTGGCGGTGTCGGCTGGCTGCTCCGGACTTAGACCCAGCTTCTGTGACCAGGGTCAGTACTGGATGCCCCCGAATTGGCTGGATTTGGATTATCCAAACGGGAGCTCCAAGATTGTGCGTCCGCTGGGCTTCGCTGTCAGACCCCGAATCCAACAATGTGGATTTTAACATTTAATTTTATTTTACAGCCATTACAAACACATCTTTGCTAAACATTGAGGAAAAATTTAAATCACATTTAAAAAAATAACTAATAATAATAATAAAATGAAATTTAAGAATATGACAGGGCAGCACTTTTCCTGTAGGGCCCAGCCTGTGTGTAGAAGAACCCCTGCTTCCTCCCTCCTGGTCTGGAACGCCAGTAGAGGGAGTGTGGGCCTCTGCGGCTTCCGTAACATGGACGGTTCCATTCCGGTGGGAGGGGTGTTTTTTTCCTGGATTGCTAGTTGCAGGCGGCTCTGTGGTTTCCTGTATCCCCCCGCTGCCGCTGTGGGCCGCACACATTCCTGGTAGAAGGGGCCACCCGGTGGGCGGGGCTGAGAGCCGAGTCCCCTCCGCCAGCTCCCCGCCGGTACCCGACACCCCCCTCCGCCGCCGGACTCGGATGGTGAATCCCGGGATCCCAGGTAATGGCTGCGAAGTGAACGGCAGCCGCGCTCAGGAGTAACAGCGAATGGTTCCCTCCCCCGTGGGATCCCGTGACAGGTACCGGCCGGGTCCGCCCTGCGCTCCAACCCCAGCCAGCACCGCTCCCCGCGGGCAGCCCTCACCGGGGACACCGGGCACCGCCTGGCACACATGGGTAGGCCACAGCCAGGCCGGGACCGGGGCCAACAAACCCGGGATCTGAGTCACAGCGGGGGAGGGGGGGGCTGGGTGGCTGTCAGTGAGGGCAGTGGGGGGCAGTGCTGGGTGGCTGTCAGTGAGGGGCAGTGCTGGGTGGCTGTCAGTGGAGGGGCAGTGCTGGGTGGCTGTCAGTGGAGGGGCAGTGCTGGGTGGCTGTCAGTGAGGCAAAGGGGTGGCTGTCAGTGGAGGGAAGTGTGCTGGGTGGCTGTCAGTGGAGGGGCAGTGCTGGGTGGCTGTCAGTGGGGGGCAGGTGCTGCGGCCGTCAGTGGGGGGCAGTGCTGGGCTGTCAGTGGGGCAGTGCTAGTGGCTGTCAGTGGGGGGGGCAGTGCCAGTGGCTGCCGCGGGTGTAGTGCGCCGGGGTGGCTGCCAGTGGGGGGCAGTGCTGGGTGGCTGTCAGTGGGGGGGCAGTGCTGGGTGGCTGTCAGTGAGGGGCAGTGCTGGGTGGCTGTCAGTGGGGGGGCGGCAGTGCTGGGTGGCTGTCAGTGGGGGGGCAGTGCTGGGTGGCTGTCAGTGAGGGCAGTGCTAGGTGGGGGGCAGTGCTGGGTGGCTGTCAGTGGTTGGGCAGTGCTGGGTGGCTGTCAGTGGAGGGGCAGTGCTGGGTGGCTGTCAGTGGGAGCCGTGCTGGGTTAGCGGGGAAGTTTTAGGATTTGGGAGCTGTCAGTACAGCAATTGTTGGTTGGGGGACTGTTAGTAGGGCGGTCTTGGTTTGAAGCACTGTTAGGTGGGCATTGCTGGGTTTATAGTGACCCTCAGTGTGGTAGTGCCAAATTTTTTGAGCTGGAAATTTGGAGCTTGTCACTGGAGGCAGTGCTGGATTGGGAGCTGTATTGAGGCAGTGCTTGGTGGCTGTCAGTGGGAGCAGTGCTGGGTTGGAGGCTGTTATTGAGGCAGTGCTTGGTGGCTGTCAGTGCTGGGGCTGTCAGTGGGAGCAGTGCCGAGTTGAGGGCTATCAGCGGGAGCAGTGCCAGCTTTGGGGCTGTCATTGGGAGCTGTGCCGGGTTAGCGGGGAAGTTTTAGGATTTGTGGGTTGGGGGACTGTTAGTAGGGCAATCTCGGTTTGAAGCACTGTCAGGTGGGCATTGCTGGGTGTTTAGCGACCGTCAGTGTTGGTAGTGCCAGATTTTTTTTGAGCTAGAAATGTGGAGCTTGTTGACTTTTTATGGGAGCGTTTGGGTGTTGGGACTGTCAGTGAGGGAGTGGTGAATGTGGTTTTTGTAGCATTTATTGGACAAGCATGGGATTGGGCAGTTTGTTGATCATTGTGTTAGATTCTAGTAATGACAAACCTAGTCATGTCTTGTCGATAAGATGTCGTTGGAAAGAAGTACTATCAAAAGAAGTCCAGAATATGTAATGGAAGATATCAAACTGTGGGCTGCTTGCAGCTTTAGTATAACACTTAACCATGGGCCATATGTTGAGAATCTTGATCTAAATCACTTTCAATTTAAACAACTAATTTAGTTCGGGTTTTCCAGACTGTTGACGTTTCAGCTATTCAAGACTATATAACTCCTGTAATAGCTGTGTCCCTGGCATTATAATCTACACAATAAGTGTGCCAAATGGCTAGTTGAGTAAAATGTTGAGATAAACTGACATGCAAAAAAGATTATCAAAGGTTTGCATTTTAGATACAAAGAAGCAAAATAAATGTTCTAACAATCTGGAAAAAAATTGGGAAGGTGACTAGCCTTAAAAATTGTCAAAAGGTCTGCATGTACATACAAATGTAGTCCTTAAATCGGTGCAACGGCACCATAACAAGTACAGTGGGTTCTGTGTTTCTGCTGCCCTACCTTTATTGTAAGTAATCAGACTGTCTTGGGGCGGTTGGACTTCTTACTGTGGGTTCGCTGGGCATGATTCCACGACTCCATTACTTCCAGCGTAAAGCTGTAACCTCCTGCTTTGTAGGGCTTAGCTCAGAAGAGCTAAAGGAAGCTCCTATCAGCCGATTGCTTTGAATTAAACCCTGCTCTGCTGTGCTTAGCTCAGAAAATGTGCTTCCGGCTCTCTGTCAGAGGTAGTGGACGTTGGGAGTCTTAGCACTGCAATGTACACATTGCATTTTCTCTGAAACTGCTGTGTTTTAAAGGAACTCTATAGCGTTAGGAATTCAAATATGTATTCCTAACGCTATAGAGCCCTAGTCACCTAAACAATGACTAGGACCCCGTTCCGCGGCGAATAAATGGTTAATTTACCATTTATTTGCTTACCTTGATCCAGCGCCAGGCCCCCTTGGCACTGGTGACTTCTCATCTTCCATTGACGTCAGCTCACAAGTGGAGCCGCATGAGCTGCCGGAGGAGCGCGCGCGCGTATTCAAACCTGCCCATAGGAAAGCATTACTCAATACTTTCGTATGGAGATCTTTTTTTGACGCTGGACGTCAAATAAGTGTGATTTACTCCGTGTAAATCGCGGAAGCGCCTTTAGTGGCTGTCAGGGAGACAGCTACTAGAGGCTGAATTAACCCTGCAGTGTAAACATAGCAGTTTCTCTGAAACTGCTATGTTTTCAACTGCAGGGTTAAAACTAGGGTGGCCTTCATTGAGCTGAAGTGGTCTGGGTGCCTATAGTGGTCCTTTAACATTTGCAGGGCTAAGGGGAAAGGGGACCCTGCACCCAGACCACTTCCATGAGATGAAGTGGTCTGGGTGCCTTTAACCCCTAAATTGCAGATAATTAATCAGTAAGACTGCAGGGGCATGATCTATACACCAAAACTGCTTCATTAAGCTGAAGTTGTTTTGGTGCTTATAGTGTACCTTTTAAGTATAAATAAAATGTTAAAAGATTGGCAGGGGGTGGGGAGGTATGGGACCCTCTCTTTCTCCTATTTTATGAGCTGCTGTAACTTGTCAGATTCTGCTTTGGAGACTATATGTACTGAACCCTTCTGGGTACCTGTTTTACAGTAAGTTCACAAGAGAACAAAAAACAACACTTCTATCATAGTTTTGATTGTAACATTTTTTTACCCACATGCAACCAAGAAAAAACAACACAAAACAGATTTACTTATCATTCCTGATTATTAAATGTCTACAGTGAGAATTTCTAATTTACAGTCAAAATGGCAGAACTTTCAGAACTTTCTGTCACCTATGCTTTCAGTTCAGCTACTATAGCCTTAAAGGGACACTATGGGCACCCAGACCGCTTCATCTCGCTGAAGTGGTCTGGGTGCAGTGTCCTTGTCACCTTAAACCTGCAATGTAAAACATTGCAGTTTTGTGAATAGTGACACTAGCACTAGAAATATAATTTTGTGTTACCAAGGCTATAGTGTTCCTTTAAATTTGAAATGTACTTTTAATTCACTTTGAATCCTCACTGTAGTAATTAACCCTTCTCAGATAAGATTTCAGTTATTTTTGGTAGTTATAGGACATATATTGCAAGAAGTGAGTTATGATTGTAAAGATGAGACTACAACTTAATTAAGGATATATTTGTAGAAAGAGGACACACAGGGGTATTTAAGTAAGAACATCGTATTTGTTTTTGTTTCTCATCACTATAACTTTAATTTCACATTCTTTTTACCATTTTATGCATTATCTTCTATATAGATTGTCCATCCCCCTTCTTTTCTCATTTTAAATGCATGTTTAGAAGTAGCAGCTCCATGTAGACCATTTTATTGCCATCATCATACTACTTCTACAAACCTTTAATAAAGTGACAATGAAAACTTAAAGTAAACCACTGTCACATGGTTTCACGTGACCTATCCATTTGCGGGAAGGTTGGCGAAGATGGAGCAGATAAGGAAGATATACTGACCTCCCCAATAGTGAGAATACAAAGCAGGTTTTATGGAGGATATTTAAATGCTGCGGAATATTGCCATCGGTCTCTTGCGCATGTTGTGAGATGATGCCTATTCTCACCAGCCACTGAAAATTATCGTGCTTTACTACATTATAGGTGCTGCCTATGTGTTCCTGATAATCTTTGCACAGTATCTGCTTTCAGGAAATTATAGGACTTGCTTAGTTTTATCAAATTCCAGGCTGTGCTGGAAGAACGTTCGCTTAATCTATGCAAAACGAGAGAGAAAATCAACAAAACGCACAGAGCTTGTTCCTATACAACAAATTAAAGATAGGGACTCTCAGCACTTATACCAGTATGTGCAAATCTGTCATTATTCCCTGGCAGGATACGATTTCTCATTGCACAGTACTGCAGAATATGCAAGTGTTTTGTAAAGAGTACAAGTCATTTTGTCTGGGTAAGCATAAATACTAGCCAGGCCCAGGGATCTGCTAATGTAGAAAAAAAGATTGATCCAACATTCCACATTGACAACCACCTTGTGTAATCAGAATGTGGCTTTATTTTCCGGTTTATCATGAAATGCAGTTAGAATCATTCTTAGTTGGTGTGTCAGCCTAAATCAAAGTATCCAATTTAGCCACGCTCACACTGCACTATGTCACGACTCAAAGCTGCCAAACCTATTACCAGCCAAAATCCTTGCAAGTCATCGTGGACCTTCATTTCACTGCTGGTTCTAGACATTTTTGTTTTGCTGTTTCGTTTTCCCTGCAGACATTGTAATTTTCTGTTGTGGTTTTCTTCCTGTTTTTTTTTTTAATTCCTTGAGCACAACTGACTAGAATCAAGTGGGATATTTATTTTGTCGTTTAGTCCTGTTATTTAGTAATGTAAACAGTCATAATTGCATAGTTTAATTTTATTTAGTTTGTTTTTTTCCCCCATGGTTACAGAGAAACATGTGTTGTAGTTTTTTTTTTTATGATCCTGTAACTGTGGGGAATTCATATGTGTGCTCACACTGTACGAATTTTACGTATTTTATATCTATGTTTTCCTTGATTCTATTCTTGTTCTGTTCTAGTTAATTTTGTTAAACAGAACAGAAAGTTTGGCCCAATGACAGCTAGTACGAGGACAGATGTTCAGAATAAATGTGATATCTTAAATTGTGAAGCACAAGTGAAAAGGCACATTGTAAATCATAACTTCATGCTAACCAAAGATGAATAAAAATGATGAGATGAGTGGGACTGCTCTGCAAAGCAGTAATACAACAGCTGCTATTGGTTTCAAATCCCCAACATTGACGTCCCGAAAACTGGGGGCGCAGAGGGAATAGGGGCAGGCCAATGATGTGATTGAGTTAATGGCTCTTCACAAAGGGATCTGGCATGAATGCAGGGCAGGCTGCCTGCCAATCATGCGCTTTCTTTATGGTCCTGGTTCCCTGAATGCTGAGCATGCACATCTAATGATGTGCTTGCGATACTTTTTAGGGACAGTTTCCTGGTGTTCCAAAAAGCAGGGAACCAGGGAGTAAAGACCGTCCAGCGGAACAAGAGCTGAAAATTGGGACTGGCTCACCAAAATCAGGATAGTTGGCAGGCATGTAGTTTACAGATAGTTAAGTTCAGTATCTAGTGAATAGGCTTTGTGCATTGATCATCAGAGATTCAGCCCAGCTCTCTCCAGATGGAAAAGCTAAGCCCAGGTTGTACATGCCATTTAAAGGAACATTATACAAAGCTTTATTGCTAACGCTATAGTGTTCCTCTGCACCCATTCCTAAGGGGGTTTCCAAACGGTTAAAACTCATTTAAAACGCCCAATTCCAGTGCTCACGTCCCTCAACACTGGCTCCGTCTCCTCCAATGTCAGCGTGATGGGGAACCTAATGCGCATGTGTGCATGTGCCTTCCCCCAAAGAAAAATATTGAATTAATGCATTCCTATGGAGATTTTCAAGATATGGTTTGTCCTCATACAAAGCGCGAGGATGTCCAGCATCGTTTCACGGAGTTAAACTCCGTGAAACAGAAGGAAGTGCCCCTAGCCATTAGTGGCAGTCTTAACACTGCAATGAAAACATTGCAGCCAGACCACTTCAATAAGATGCCCCAATGTGTCCCTTTACAACTTGGACAGAAGTCTAGCTGAATGATTGACAGATCTGATGGGCTGTTTTAGAGATTTTTACAATGCTGAGCTGAGAGTAAGTGGAGGATGAAAGAGTTCTGATGGTGCTTAGTGACCCTTTAAGGTGAGAAGCTGACTCAGCAGAACAACTGTTCATCCTCAACGGTTGTGCCAAGGGCATTTATCCACATACACATTCCTTAGGCTAAATGGTGAGAGCAGGAATTAAGCAGATGTCCGGACACAAGAGTTCATACAAGGCTGGCATCAAACCGTGGTCAAAGTCCAAGATTAACTTTATATCTGATCTATGGCAGGTTACACAGACCGCATTGACAGACATAGATGACCCAGACAGTAGGGAGGGTGAAGAATAAATAGCCAGATGAGACTGCAGATGTTGCAGGTTTGTAAGCAGATGTCAGACACTGAGGACAGAACAAGCAATGTAAATAGTCAAATATTGTGACAATGAAAAAACACCAGGTCTCTTGTTTGATCAATATTTTTCAGTTTGTTTCTATCTCTTCCCTCCTGGCTGGCCATGCATGCTGGTGTTTGTAATTAAACTTATTAAGGCACTACACTAATACACTAATATCAGAGGTAAAATATCATATATCAGTTGCTTATGCCAAGTATGGATTCTATGGCAAGATCTCCTATATTTATCTCTTTAACACCTGTTAAAACATGTCAAGCGCTCTGTGCTTTGTGACCTCTTACAGACCATAAAAATTCAGGGACCCTTGTCATTCTTATTACTTTCCCACACACTTTTTTTTTATTTTTTTTAACTCTACAATTGTCGGCCGTAGTCTGGTTTGTAGTCGTGTTGTTAGATCATCATTGCTTTCTGGGATGCTTTTCACAGCTTCATACTTATGATTAGCACATGAAATGTTTCACCCCATAGTGTGATAGTATTCGGATCTTGCAAGATGAAAATCCATTAATTAATGGTGTTTCTTTTGGGATCCATCCTTGGTTAATTGATCTCCATGATACAGCATTTGAAATGATCATATATTGTCCATTGGCATGAAGCTGTTCTGTGTAATTTGGAAATACAACTAACCACTGATAGGTCAGAACTCTTTTTATAAAACGGTTTTTGTTTGGGGGAGGGTGGTTAGAGCTTATTAAATAAAACTATGAATTGGTAAGTACAAATCAGTCAGTTTGTTTTGAGGCCAAAACCTATAAGCTGACAAATTAAGTAAATGGATTTTTTTTTTTTTTTTTATGTCTGCTATTTTGAAAAGAAGCCCAGAGAGACTTTGTGTTTAAATATATTTCTGACTTATTTTTTCCAAAAATAAAGTCGGAAAAAAAAATATTAAAAATACATGACCTCTCTGGACTTCCATAATTCTGACATAACATTTGCAACTCCTTTTTCAGTTTTCCTTGGCTGTTGGTTTAATGAAGAACTCTGTGTGAGATGATATATGTAGTAATGAGTGTGCCTGCATGGCTGTCAAGAATTCGATAGGTATCACATTCCAATGTCAAGCAGCACACTGGTATGTAGATTCACAGTAATCTGTGAGGTCACCATTAAACAATGTTTAAGTAAAAGGCCACATGGCTACCAGGTCAAACTTCTTTCTCAGACTTTGTACTGTTTTACTGCAGGTGTTGGTGTCATTTTAAAGCAAAATGGAAACTGACTGGGTTATGTATTAAACTGAGAATTCAAAGTGAAATTCAAATTTAAGACTAGAATAGGTCAACTGAAAGCATAGTTTTCACAGTTAAGCTATTTCCACCTTCAATTTTAAATTCACTTTGAATTCTCACTGTAGGTGTGCAGTTCTCTTAATACTTGGTATACTTGATGATTTTTTTTTTTGTTTTGTTTTTTCTGTCCTTTTTTTTTTTTCTCTCAATTAGTGGTTACTTTTCCAATACAGCAAGTACATTGTATTCCATTTTAAATGCATGCTTTGAGAAATTATGATGAAGTTTACCATGTTACACTATGCTTATTAAAGATATACAGGCACACCCCACTTTAAGTACACTCACGAGTACAGACATACCTGCGAGTGTACGTAAAGGTGCCTCGCGAGTACAGACATTCCCGCGTTTCTTCTGTCCGCGAGTGAACAGGAAATGGAATGTTCTATTCTCGCCTGGAGCAGCTCAGTTCAGTGTCTTTGGGGCAAGAACTTTTCACACCTGACTAAAAGCAGAAGTGGTCATGGTGATTGAAGTAACACTTTAACCTGGAAGAGTCTTAACAGCGAAACGTGCGTCGGGACGTTCATAGAGTATTGAGTTGATCAAATAGATGTGGGTCGACAAGCATTGAGTCTTTTCTGACATTATCAGCTATACTCTTCATTTTTAATTTTATTTAAATGTTCTTATTTCTTATTTTTTGTTTTATATTTCTACTGGACGATTATCACCATCAGAGGGGGGAGGAGGGCACTTAGTATTTTGCTAAGGGGTGCTCTCGAAGGCACAACAGAGTAGGGAATTTTCATTCATTGCAGGATATGATAGCCAGTCTGTACCTTTACTGAGACAATATGTAGCGCTCCTCCGGACTGAATAGTATATATTATCAAATGTAACAGATATAGGTTACATCTGCTAAATTAATCTTTCTCTATGTGTAACAATTTGTTGCTTTTTCGTTCTATGTACACACTTCTTATACAGCTTCTATATACATATTTTTTCCTTTATTGGTTAATATAGGATATTCTTAATAATTTTTTATATATATTTTTTTCAATCTTTTTTTTTTTTTTGTGTGTGTGTGGATATTTTCTTCTGATATGCAGTTCATTTATGATCAGATATTTTAACTAATTTATTAAAAGTGAAGTTTTATTTGATTCACTTTGGGATTACTCCGTGCCATCAAGGGTTTGCCTTTTAAACGGTTTCCCTAGGTGTTCTCTCCTTGTTCTTACCATTAACACTTTAACCTGTTTCATGAGAATTATCTGTCTTTATAAAACAAAACTGTCACATATATATATATATATATATATATATATATATATATATATATATATTGCATTGGATTTCATTGAAATTTGAGGACAATCAAAAGATAACCATAAAACAAAATAATGACCACTTTAAATTATGTATGCCTCAGGAAAAAGGCAAAGCTGGAATATTTTCTCTTTGACTTTCCACGAGGCATAGTAAATGTCTCTGGAATGAAGAGAACAATCTGTTTTGATGAGTTCATCAGGATATCTGACATTAGAATAATATTTCACCATATGGACTGTATAAAACCTTGACCATAGAAAAGGTGTGTCTGATCGAGTCAGTGAAGGAATGCTTACCTGATGGCTCACCTGTAATTAAATGAAACTGATCTGTAATTGAGACAGTAATTACATATAAGCGTTTTTTAATCATAGAAAATGATAAAGCTATGCAACTCTCCTAATTTATCAACAACAGATGACTACAAAAGAAGGGACCAGGTACAAAGATTGATATAAACTTTATTGGAAACACAATAGCAAATTTCAGTTCTCACTAGTGCCCTCGGCTGGTAGTGTGCCCACTCCAGTGGCTGTATTCCCCGTATTCTGCTATTGGTTTAGTGAGTGCTGTCTCACATTTTTTTTAATCTATTTAACTGTCTATAAGCCCTAGATAAGATATGTGTACTTAGCTATGGATTTGAGTTTATCGGTACATAGTGTACAGTGCTGTTTATAATAACTCTTTGCGATCAGGAGCCCATTAAATGATAAAAGATATTATACTGAAGGTTGCATTTTGTTATTTGTCTTAAATGGAACAATCCACTTCCAAACTCTACCTATTTTCTGTGTGTTTTTTTGTTTTTTTCAGACTAGCTATACTGGTTTAATTTTCCATTTGAAAGGAATGTAAAATAAGCAATTTAAAGTGGTTCTGCAGGAGTGACAAATTAAAAAAAATATATATATTTTTTTTTACTGTATTTCGATTAATTTTTTTATTTTTAAAAAAGATTTTATTGTACAACACAAAGCATCAATCAGTCATTACAGCGTATAAGCGGTATCAACACTGAGCAACGTGTTCTGTACATGGTTATCACCGTAAATAAGTAAACTAGGTGAGGGACAGGGATAATTTGGGGGGTGCACTCAATTACAGGGTGTATGTATAGAGTGGGTTTGCCCTAAAGCCGACTCACATAAGAGCAGGCCCAGGGTACTGGTCACGTAGTGTTTAATAAAATTAAACATAAAGTAGACAGTAAGGTTCGAAAGTTAATGAGATTTCAGTATTGAAACCGATATGTTCTCGAGGTGTCTTGTCATTGTTACTGAGTTATAAAGAGGTGCCCTGACTGTGTGTATAGTCTGTCCAGATTGCCACTTAGTGGCTTGTTGGGCATGGGTATTGGAGTGGTAGGCCATAAGTTCCTCCATCTTTTTAATTTCCTTCACTCTGTTTCTCCATTCGGTAATGGAGGGTATTTGAGGGGATCTCCAATGAAGGGGTATAAAAGATTTATCGGCAACAAGAAAGAGTGGGAGACAGGATTTGTGTAATTTGACAAAGGGTATCCTTGTGTGTAAGAGTAGTATTTCTGCTGGATTCAATGTAAGTTGATATCCGCTAGCTTCACCGACAAGGCGGATTACTATTATATTATGCTGTATGTAGTTTTTGTGCCTTATTACAATTTAACATATATGACAGGGCATAAGTCGTCATTTTAAGTGTAAAAACCAATCTCCCTAGAAATAGGGGTTGACTAACACGCCAAGCATAAAGTTCTTGATACATGGACGAGAAAAAATAAGCTCTTGGCTAAATGTATTTCTGATAAAATATGGTTTCACCCTTCTCATTCCTCTTTATCACTTGTGGGCAGAAGAAGAATTTGCTTTGGGCGACAGGAGAGATTACATTGTCTATAATAGCAGAGCATGTGTGGGCATCCAGGTAGGGTACATCTGTTCCCATAAAGATGGCAAACCTCTATTGATGGCAAATACCAGGGGAATAAATAAATAATTCCAGGCACAACGACATTACACTTTTGCATTGGGAACCACAGTGGCCAGCTTCATTTTTTTTGTATTTTATTTTTTTTAAATATATTTATTTAATGATGTCTTTTCATTACAGGTTTTAACATTGAAATCCCACCATGTCATTGAGGCCACGAGTAGTGGATTTTGATGAAACATGGAACAAGCTTTTAACGACAATCAAAGCCGTGGTCATGTTGGATTACGTTGAAAGGGCAACATGGAATGATAGGTTTTCGTATCCTTTCCAAGGGGTTGATATTGACCATAAGAATAATTTAAAACATGCTTCCTGTCACTTATCATATCACAGTCTAAATCTATCTATGCTGTCTAACAATCTATTTAATTTTTGTTTTAGTATCCTGACATTAGTTAAAGCTTAAAAATTTATTTTCCCCTCAATAAAATGTGTGTTAATCCTTGTATTGTTCATTGTGGTTAACCGGAATTTTATGTTGTTTGTGGTTTGTTTTTGTTTTGTTGTGGTCTATTCACTAAACATTGAGCTGTGCTCTGTTTACAACGATTAAAATGTTATTCAATTCAGAATGCATGTGAAATTTCTCACCTATTTTATTTGCTGGAATTTTCATCCTTCCTCTGTTACAGTACTGCAGTCCATGCATTTATTAGTAATAACCTGAATGTTAACAGAGCTGGACCTGAACTAAGGGATACCAATAAGCATTATTAGGGATCAGCTTCCCCTAGCCAGTAGGGTGGAGGTCTGCCAAATGTAACCAATTGGATTATTCTCTGGTGACAACCATTACCACTATCTATTGCATGACCACTGACTGTAAATGTGCCCTAATTATTATTCCAATGCTAACTTATTTCTATAGACAAACATACTACACTGCCCATTACGCTAATACCCTCTGATATGCAGTCTCTCTCCTACTTATGTCATTTATTATTAAAACATTAATACATTCCCTCTATTTTTCCATTATGGTCTTACATCATTTTTATTTATTTTATTTCTCCTGCTACTCTCCGTAAGATTGGTAGTAGAATGGTGGCACTATTTGGTTATTATTGTGTTTGTTTACTCTACATTATGCAATATTCAACTCATTGTGTACTTCATAAAAATTCTATCCAACACATTTTTTTTAAAATTTTCAAATATCAGCCAAACTTAGTATGAAAGCCCATGGCTTGATATTTTTGCTGATTTAAACAAACTTTTTGCCATTTCATTGATACAAGTGTGGCGGTGTTAAATTCAATGTATTTGTTTTTATTATGTTGTTTGAATTTGTGTGAATTCAGTGCTATGCTTACAGGTATAAATGAGTGTATATATACTCTCCTGGTTGATTTTTATACTATTCTAATCCTGGAGAGCTGATAGCGCTTGCTGTTTAACACATCCTTAACAGACACACAGAGACATTTATGCTCTATGTGTCGCATATCCAGAACCGCTGGGTGAGAGACTGTACACAGAGACAAAAATCTTTCTAGAAAATCATGTACAACAGTTGCATGCGGTAAGTTTTTTTTGTTTTTTGTTTTTTTTTGTTTTTTTTTTAATAACATATGATGGCAGTTCAAAGAGGGACACTCGTGCTTCATATATCATCTAGTTTATAAAGTCAGAACCCTGAGAATAGCATGTTCAGGGGATTTTGTTTTCCAAGTGATCTTAAAAATAATTTAAAAAACAATGGAATGTATCTACAGATTCCATTTGTAATTGTGATCGCCCCACTTTTAGAACCCTTCCCTTCTTTTCTATTAGACACCGGCACCCCTTTAAAGGACCACTATAGCCACCCAGCTCAGTGAAGTGGTCTTGGTGCCAGGTCCCCCAGGTTTTAACCCTGCAGCTGTAAACATAGCAGTTTCAGAGAAATGTTTACATTGCAGGGTTAATCCAGCTTCTAGTGGCGGTCTTCCTGACAGCTGCTAGAGGGGCTTCTGCGATGCATAATGTGAAAATCGTATTGAGCATGCAGAACTCTGGCCGCGCATTGGCTCCACTTGGGAGCGGAAGTTGGAGCGGGAGGAGTGGATTAAGGTAAGTGGCTGAAGCGGTTTTATCCCATTCAGCCCAGCGGTAGGGGGGCCCTGAGGGTGGAGGGGACTTAAGGACTATGTAGTGCCAGGAAAATGAGTTTGTTTTTCTGGCACTATAGTGGTCATTTAAAGGGACACTATAAGCAGCAGAAACAGCTTTAGCTTAGATGGCATACTATAGGCACCAGAACAAGATTAGTTTAATTAAGCAATTTTGGTATATGGATCATCCACAAAAGTGGCTTGCAAAAGGTACATTTTTTTGCAAGCCAGTTTTGTGAATGGGGAGTCACTGAGTGCCTGAGAGCATCAGCTTCTTGAATCTGAAGCCAGATGCTGCCTGGTGGGGAGTGGATATTGCTACTGGAGGCAACATTGGGGTTAAACCATTTAACCCCTTGAGGCAAGAGTGCCTCTAGGGGCATCCTGGCATCAAAAAAACGTCATTTAGATTAAGCTGTTTTGGTGTCTGGAGTGTCCCTTTAACTCCTAAATGGCAGATAATTGACCAGTGAGACTACAGGGGCAGGAGTTATAAACGAAAACTGATGCATTATGCTAAAGTTGTTTTGGTGTTTATAGTGTACCATATATTGCTAGTGAAATAATCAAACTAGTCTAAACCATTACATTTTTGGTGCATTTATTACCTGAACTCTGTGAAATACATTATCGCTAAGCATTATCAATAATCTCGTAATTAAGTATTGTTAATATTTCCCTAAAAAAAATAAGTGTTTCTATTGTCCTCCAGTTATGTAGTTAAGCTGATATTCATTTAAACCGGGTCTATCATTTCTCCGCACATCACTTGCACTTTTTGTTTACTTCTTTATGTTTGAATTTTCTTAGAAAGTCTTGGAGTCGGCAGAGCAGGTGTTGGTAATGTATCACAAGTACTGGGAGGAATACAGCAGAGGGGCTGATTACATGGACTGTTTATACAGGTAAATGAAACAAACTGACGGAATAATGCCTGCGCTATTTGTTATCTCGCTTGGAGTATATTTTACATTATTCAAATTTTGTGTAGTTAAAGTGTCGCTCTAGGAACCATAACCACTTCACAATTGAAGTGGTTATGGTGCCTAGAGTCCCATGGCACTGTTCGCTGTTATATACCATTTCACATTGCATGAGGTCCTTGGCCACTCATGACCCTGCCCCCTCATGGCATACTCTCAGCCATTTCTTGCTTGTTCTCTGCTGGATTGAACTGGGATAAAAGCCATGACCCAGCACCAAATCATACCGGAGAGAGAGCGAGAACTGACTAATGCTCAGTTCTCACTCTTAATCCTTTAAACTACCCGGGATGAGACCCCTCTTTGCAGGAAAAGGTAAGGAACAGAAGGGGACTTATATGCAATATATAATTATTAAAATGGATGGGTTAAAATTAAGAAAGGGACTAAAATATTAGGGGCTTTGAATGATAGGGGCCGGTATGTAGGACAAGAGATCTTAGAAGACACAGAAGGAGATTGACAAAGGGGCTCTGAAATGGATGTAGACAGACTGAATGTGGGACTGAGAGAGACATATTTTGAAGATGAGGTTAAGACAGGGAGACAGACATTGGTAGTGAGGCTGAGAGACAAACCTAGCTGGACACAAGGAGAGGGAGACAGATGAAGGAGGGCTTGGAGACAGACAAAGAAGAACTTACATAAACAGTGACATATTCTTTGGAGACAGAGATAAATGGGAAACATAGATGGCTATAGATAAAGGGTTGAATATGAGAACGATAAAAGCGGTAACGGAGGGGCATAAACCAGGAATATGGGGTAAAATACCGATTGGTGCAGAGAAACGTAGAACAGATATATAAGATGTGGGGAAACAAACTTTACACAGAGAGATGGATTGAAAAACCAAAAACAGCAGTTGAGATACAACAGATAGAGAATTGGTGAAAAGATGGTAAAATATATATGTACTTCTCACACTCAAATTTTGAAACTTTCGGTTCTCCATTCATACTGTGATCAGATAGATTCAGCCAAATAATAAATGTGTTTAAGATCCTGCTTAGCATATCTTTTTACCATGTACTTGTTATGATTGACATGTTAGGAGGTGCATTCTTGCTAATTACCCATAATGTTATTAATTATGGGGGGGGGAAATGACTGCCGAATAGCAATGAAATGCAGCACATAAAAACAAATGAAACGTTTCACTTATTACTACTTCTAGGTATCTCAACACGCAGTTCATTAAAAAGAATAAGCTTACAGAGGCTGACCTGCAGTATGGCTATGGGGGAGTGGATATGAATGAGCCGCTGATGGAAATAGGTGAAGTAAGTAACTCTAAACCAGTCCAGCATTCCGTCATGTGTTTGACATACTTTACTCCTCTGATCCAAATAATTTCATGCCGTTAATTAGACCCTGTCACCCAAACAGAATTATAACCAACTACCTGCATGCTCATCCTTAATATTGTCCTATTATATGTAGCTAAAGTTACAAATAAGACTATAGTGAGCCCTCTTTCCTGGTTAATTCATCTTTCTTAAACAAAAAAAATCTTATTTATCTACAGTAGGAAAAATCATATTAATGGGACACTCCAGGCTGTACTTTGGTCATTTTTAGTGCATTATCTAGAATGTGCATAATTAATAATAATATAAAAATAGATACTCTCATTTGAAGTCGCTGTTTTTGCTGCATATCATATGTGACTTATTGCCAAACCAGACAATGTCTAATGCTGTATCAATGCTGAACTTAAACAAGACTATATGGGCACAGCAAGCATTTCAGGAGTCATAGTTTCCTCTAAAAAGCCAACAGCTAAGCTGCAACTCCCAGAAACCCAAGGCATTACATGTACAGTGGGATATTAGAACATTGAAACACTGTGGTTACCAGGGCCAGCAAGTTGCTAATGTTGTGGTGTTTTGTTGTTTTGTTTTGTTTTTTTTGGAGAGGGGGAAGAGTAGGAATTTGTCCCCCTAACCCTTTTTTTTTTTACCTTAGCTGGTACCTTGTACACTTTTACATTCTGCCTGAATTTGATGCTCGGCTTCATCATTTCTAACAAATGCCTGTATGTTTTTAAATGGATACAGATTTTGGGCAGCAATGCTTTGTATTTGTTTACAATGCACATTACACTGTCATTTATTGCAGTTAGCACTTGATTTGTGGAGGAAGTTGATGATTGAACCTCTTCAGGGGACCCTCCTTAGAATGCTTCTTAAAGAGATTAAAAGGTAAGTAAATATGTGTGTTGAATTCAGGTTACGATTTCCAGTAGCTCACTAAACTTAGAGATTTGATATGTACGATGGCGTTGGCTTATGTTATTTTACAAGGGCTGAACCGAACGAAAACATGCAGCTCCACTCTTTACTCCAATAAAGTCCACAAACTATATTTACAGAATTTATCAAATTATTGGATTTTTATCATTTCATATTTTTACACATTCAGTGGCTTTATTTGCTGCCGCTGGATGGTATAGGATAATACTGTCCCCAAAACCGCCTAAATTCATTGTACATTGTCCTGCTAACTCAATAAATATTGGAGACTGGGGCCATAAAAGCATGCACGGTGCTTTGTGCAGTTTGATATTTAGTTTAGTTTAGTTTGGCCATTCTCCATATCATTAATAGCCACCACCAGTCTCTAGCATTGACAGAATGCAGGACAAATTCACAGAAAATGTGTCAGACAAGGCGGCATTCTTTTAACATGCGGCCTGTTCTCATGTTAATTCTCCCTGTAAATTTTATTTATTTAGTGATCGTTGTGGGGAAGATCCAAATCAGAAAGTAATCCACGGGGTTATTAACTCCTTTGTTCATGTTGAACAGTATAAGAAAAAATTTCCCTTAAAGGTACGTGGTTGATGCGAGTGAAACAATTCATAAAATTGCTTTTTTTAAAAAAAAAATTATTTATTTATTTTTAATTCCTATTTTTAGAGTGTATTAATTTGAGTGTGCCAGGTTATTCATGCGTCATTTTTTTTTTTTTTTTTAATATAATTTAGTTTTATCAAGAAATTTTTGAGTGGCCTTTTCTGGCTGAAACTGGGGAGTATTACAAACAAGAAGCTTCAAATTTATTACAAGAATCAAACTGCTCACAGTACATGGAAAAGGTAGGCTGGATAACTGGCGCTGGGTCTTGGAAAGTAATGGCACCTGTTAATATGTTGCTAAATTCTGTATCATGTATTTTAAGTAGCATTTTTTTCCTCCTAATTATTTTTAAGCAATTTTCACCAAGAATAACTGTTGATAAAGTTTATACATTCAAAACAAAATACCATGAAAAATTTTATAAAAACAAAACCGGGCACGTGGGGAAATTGTTGTGGGTGTTTCATACATGCGCAGGCTGATTGTCATCAGCAGGGTTTTTGTGTTACGTGTAGAAAATATTCCCTAACAAATCTATAAACAGGCTCTGGTACTCCTGTGATGCTAACGAAAATCAAATCTACTCTACATTAGGCAGTTTTCAAAATAGAATTGTTTTAACCAGCTATGTTCGTTTCTTAGCAATTCATTATCAACATTTACCAATACATGTTGAAAAATATAGTCTGCAAAGATTTGTTACCCTGATTTTTGTTTTACTGAGAAAGCAAGGATATCAACAAATTGTTGAACCCATGATATCCATTGCTGTTTATTTTAATCAATATCTTTTTTATTTTTTTATTTATTTATTTCATTTACATTTCACTTTCACACTTTTTTCTAAAACATGTACTTTTTATTTGATCTTGTGGTCTATTACAATGAAGTCCGTGTTCATGTGTCTCTCGACTTTATGAGTTCAAACTGTGGATATCTGAACACGAGCCGTTAATTCTCATTATGGTACCAGAAGGGAAGAAATACACACAAATGATTTACATGACAAGTAGTCCGTTTTATGTGCTTGGCTCAAAAATTCCCTTTCAGTATTGCACATAATCAGCGTGTCTAGCTGAAACCCCATATTACTTGCAGAGCATAAACTTTTTGTTGTCTTGTCTATTTATAAGGAAGTCCTATTGATTTTTTTTTTTCAGTTGTAATGTAACCAATATTTGTGATAACACATTGAATGACCATTATCTTGAAACAAAGCAATACTTACCCCTTACTTCAGGTTTCATATCCAGTAGTTTGAAACTTAACACAAGAACACCACCAAGATCATTTACATTAAATATTAGAACATGATATTTATGTGTTGATTAAAAAGATTATAAATATTTGTATAACATTTAAAAAAAAAATGAAAATATTGAAGAGCATCCTAGACCTATTAGACCAAATCTAAATAAAATTATGAGGTTTTCTTAATTAAAGGGGAAAGCTAAGTAAGCACCACAAACGCTGTCCTATAGACAGGCCCTTCACTCCGCATATTGCTATTTGGGAAGTTACAAGTCTGCATTTGCAACATCTTTTTTTCTAGATTTGGATGGGGTGTGTATTGACTGAGCATGTAACATATATTTATGAAATATAGAGGATAAGTCAGTATTGTATGCAAATCCCAGGTAACAACGTTTTCCTTTAAAGGGACACTCCACTGCCCATAGAAAACATTATTACAGATCACCATTTAGAGGATATACCCCCAGTGAAACATTTAATTTATAAAAGTGACAATTTCTATTAAAACCTGCACTTTTTGTAACAAGGATAAAGAGAACACACTTTTCACATATAAAGTACTTCAACATTCTAAAGTGCTTTTTAGTTGTTTGATTTGCCATATTCACAGTAACTTAAAACCTGCTTTAATACAATACAGTGATAAATGGTAATGTCAAAGTGACACTTGTTTATCTACATGCATGCACCATTAATGTTAGTTCATGTATGATTTGAAGAGAATGTTTGGGATATTACGGTCACTGCCATCTTCTTCAGCTCTTGGTGATTCAGCTGCCAGGAGCCAACCTCAGCATTGTACTCTTGCGCATGTTCAGTAGTACAACACTGAGGTCTATGAAGGGTCTCAACGGATACTTGAAAAAGCCTTTTTCAACTGTGATGTCTGAGGACTTGACAAGTACTAACAGAAGGTAGCTCTGCCTTTTATCAAGTGTAGTTAAAATTCTAAGACAAAGTCCCTACTTAGCCCCGGTATATCTGTTAACTGCTTTGGAATTTCAGTCAAACAGAACAGCTTGAAGTCTACATATAAATTGGCTGTGAATGACCATTTCCAAATCATTTATTCGCTTCTTTGACTTTTTTATTTTATTTAATGTTTAGATTTTAGGTAGATTAAAAGATGAAGAGATTCGGTGTCGAAAGTATTTAAACCCTAATTCCTATACTAAAGTGATTCACGAATGCCAACAGCGAATGGTGGCTGACCACCTGCAGTTTCTGCACGCAGAATGTCACAATATCATCCGACAAGAAAGGAGAAATGGTAAGCAAAATGTGTTTTGATACCTGTCACCTGAACCCATCATGGGTACATTTATTATCTAAAAGCTTCTTTTTATTTATATATTTTTCTGTTTATCAAGTTTTGACATAATTAGAAAAGAGTTGCAAAATGGAATTGAGGCTCTATCTAGCAAATACTGTAACAAACTGTACATACTGTGAATTCCGATTGGAGCAGTACACATTGAGGAAGTGGCACATGTTGAGCATTAAATGGAGCATATGGTTTAAAGCCAACCCATGCTGACATTCAATGATCTAGGGTTTCATATTATGACCATTGACACAGAATTGGGTCATCCCTAGACCGTAGACTTTCTGCCTTAAATTTTGCAATTTTTTTACTTCTATGTTGCAAACTGGTCAAACTATATGTCGTATTGTGCTATCCCAAAGTATTCAAGTATCCATATACCAAGTGACAAAGTTGTGGTCTTAGAATAGTGCAGTCTTTTGGCTAACCAGATACATCTATTTTTCACTTGAGATGGGTGTTTTTAAGAATCCTTGAAATATTTAAATCTGTTATTATTTATTCATTTGTAAATTATTGGTAATTCACCTAGGATTTTTCAATTGTTTGCCAAAATAGCTGAATTGGGAAAAGTCTCCAACTCCATTGGTGCCGTTGGGGTGTCATTATCAAACGTTCCAGACTGACAAATGTAAATTCTGTGCTAATTTTTTTTGCACAGTGTGCCATTCATTGGCTGAGAGTGGTCAGCGACTGGGAACGGCTTCTGCAGAAATTGGAAGCATGTAAACAGAAGAGCCAGCCTTGGAGCCTGGTGGGAACCCCAATAAGGAGGCAAAGCAGTACTAGTCAGTTGGCCCCACTACCAGGGAACCGGCCGAGGATACTGCTGGCATCATAATCTCTACAGCCGACTATAGTGGTTATGATGCCGGAAGTAACCTCATTTTGACCTACAATTTAAAATCTCCTACTGAACATCTGATAATTCTGTGTTTGTTCACTAAGGTTGTGGGTTAGTGTGTGGACTGATTTATAAAGTAGTAACTAGAAATCATTACATTAAAATGGTATGCACTGAATAGTAAATTATGGTGAATCAAAAACCAGATTTTTCTAAATGTGGGCCAAAATGGCTACGTTGGGAAAAATTCTGTTTTTCTTGTTTAATGATTTTTTACCTAAATTTTTAAATCCCATTTTCAGTTTACTGTTTTTCACGGTTTGTTTAATAATAACTTCAGTGAAAGTTAAGGGCTGAATTTTTGTTGTTAGAATTGAGGAATAGTATGGGAATTCATTAAAATGCAATTGATTTCATGCAGTGTTTCCTAATTGCAGACATGGCCAATATGTACACCCTTCTTCGTTCTGTATCAAATGGTTTACATCATATGATTCAAGAGCTTCAATATCATATCCACGATGAAGGCCTTAGAGCAGTTAGTAATCTTTCTCAGGAAAACGTGAGTATTTTCTACATATCCTTATCGGGTGTGTTTCTCAACAAGCTAAGTTGGAAAGAGTCTGAGCCGTGATAAATACATTAGTCTTGGCAAAATCTATGTTGGGTGTTTTTGTTTTGGGATTTGTTTTTTGTTTATGTGCTGTTTAGTTTCCCTATTACATTTATATGAAAGATTTAGCAAATTATATCCTAATCCAGTTGCATCCGGGGCACACCTTGCAAATTAGGAGCAAAACTGTATTCTTTATTATACTGACTGCCAGGTTCAAAGGGCTCAACTTATAACATTGACTGGAGGGGATTTCTAAATTTTTTTTTTTTCACGCATTACAAATTCAAATTTGTGAAATGAAAAGTGATACCTAAAATCCCAAAAAGCAATAGTTCTCTTTTAAATGAATAGCTCAGTATAGAGCAAATTCATAATAAAATGAGAAAAAAAACAAGTAACAAGTCCATAAGTTATAATCCTTTATGAATGCTACTGATATCGGCTAGAGGCTCTTAGCCAATCCCGGTCATCCTATAGCTTTCTATTTATTTCTGATTATTACAAAGTGTAAAATGTGTCCTCACTCCTAAAAGCTTGTGGTCTCTTTTGTTGATTATTTTGCTATTCCAGTGATAGCTAATCTTGACACTCCAGACAATTGCTTGCTATAGTTCCGATAATAATCATCCTGCATTTTGCAAGTGTGACGGGACATGGGGTTCACAAGCCTGTTATGGTTACCCGTTACTGCTGGATGTTCATACCCAGAGAATCTCATTTTTTATTCCTCTTACTATTTTTCCAACTCTCTCCCTTCTTCATGTGCCAGTAAAATGCAAAAAGATGGATAAGGGTAAACCTGGGTTTTATTTCTTATCAAGCTGATGGCTGATTTTCCATTGTTCAATGCATTTTGTGTTATGGCTGCATTTCATGTACTAATAAACTTCTGTCATTTCAGATGCCCACTCAGTTTGTGGAGTCTGTCTTGGAAGTCCATAGTAAATTTGTTCAGCTTGTCAACACTGTTTTGAATGGAGATCAACAATGTATGAGTGCACTAGACAAGGTATTGCAAGTGAATCAGTGCACGTTTCAAATTACATGCAAACACACACTTCATTCTTGCCTGTGAAACATAGAAATACACTATGAGAGCCACTTTGCATTTAAGCCAATGCCAGAATCCACGTGGACAGCAGATGTTGGCGTTAATAAATTCAGTAAACCGTAAATACATGGAAGATTAGCTATAATATGCAGGTTAAACAATTCAACACGTAAACGCAAAATGGAGGGGAAAGAAAAAAGGTTAACAAACCTTTTTGACCAATTTTACTCTGAGGTCTTCGTCTGCCAGTTGAATATTTAATACATATTTTTTTATTTTTAATTAGGCTATTTATACCATGTTGGTCATTCTAAATTGAAACACTGATGTCATGATTATCCTCTATTAACGTATTATTTTGTGTACACAGGCTCTTACATGTGTTGTAAACTACAGAGAACCTAAATCCGTCTGCAAAGCGCCAGAATTGGTGGGTACATATAAAATTATCATGCTAAGTATCTTTTTTAATTTTTTTTTATATATATATTTTTCCAGTACTATTTATTGTTTTAGTTAAATATTAACTGTAATATAAGGTAGTTGTGTAACCTATTTTCGCGTAGTATGCATTTTGAAACCCCAAATTCCTAGCTGTGTTGTAAATGTTGTTGTACACTTCTAATTTGTAATCCGTTCTCTCTATATTACAGTATAATATTATAGTATTAGAATATTATAGTACAACTCCTGGCATGGGTATATTCTATCTATTAGTAGTTAATGACAATAAAAGGGGACAGATGTCTGATAATTCAAAAAAACAGCCTTGTCCAGGATAAATAAAATTTCCAACTTTAAACCTTACTCGTTTGCCGAACGTTCATACAGACACCATTTGTCAACAGTTTAGCCCCTCACCTGCCTTTTTGGCATTTTACTTTACATTTGAAGCAAACCAAATTTGGCAACGTGTAACATTATATTATTTTATATATATTAATTGATTTATTTTACAAACCTGTAGAATTCCTAGTATGACCTCTACCAGCTAAATGATTGCTTGTTCCAAATAGTTTAACGCTCCCAGGCAGAAGGTTATACTCTCTGTTTTCCATAAGAATATGTTTAAGTTGTATGTATTGCAGAATTTGGCTTTTAGGATTTTGTTTATCTTTTTTTAATCCCTGCAGCTGGCCAAGTACTGTGACAACATGCTGAAAAAATCAGCCAAGGGAATGACTGAGAGTGAGGTGGAAGACAAGTTAACAAGTTTTATTACTGTTTTCAAGTATATCGATGACAAAGATGTTTTCCAGAAGGTATGTTTCAAATTAGGAGAATGGCCTGACTATTTATTGTATGATCATTTCAGTTTTGCACGATAAACTAAAAATACAAAATCCACCTCTAATTTGTTTTCTACACATGAACACAAGTGTAATACTTTTGTCACCATGGGATTTGGGAAGGCCTAGATTTAAAAAAAAAAGATATGGGGGTAGTTTGTTTCTTGATTTAAACAAAGTAAATGGCGAACTCTTCTTTTCACATCATCTATTAACCATATGTTCTTTTACAGTATTAATTTTTTTGACATATGTCTCTAATGTTCCTGCATAAAGGAAACACCATAGCGTTCTTTAGATTCATGACTCTTCGAAATGTAATTTTAAAAGGAATTTAGTTTTACCCTTTTTCCACTACCAAGACTCTCACTCACTCCAGTCGCCCGATCTACCTCCCTTGACTTTTTCTTGCAGGCTGTCTCCTCTTTGTCTTCTAAATAATCAAATGATAAACATTAGAGGACTGTCAACGTCCTCATGAAATGCGTGAGGACACAAAAGAAATTCTGACTGTTATAGCAGCGGAAGCACCCTCTAGTGGCCGATAGTGTGTGGTTAGCACTGCAGTGAAAACGGCAATGTTTTACATGGCAGGGCGACTGCACCCAGACCACTTCATTGAGATGAAGTGGTCTGGGTGCCTATAGTGGTCCTTACTATTAATCGTGTGCTAATTTAAAGGACCACTCTAGGCACCCAGACCACTTCAGCTTAATGAAGTGGTCTGGGTGCCTGGTCCAGCTAGGGTTAACCCATTTTTTCAGAGAAACTGCTATGTTTATGAATGGGTTAAGCCTTCCCCCTAATCCTCTAGTGGCTGTCTCATTGACTGCCACTAGAGGCGCTTGCGTGCTTCTCACTGTGATTTTCACAGTGAGAGCACGCCAGCGTCCATAGGAAAGCATTATGAATGCTTTCCTATGTGACCGGCTGAATGTGCGCGCAGCTCTTGCCGCGCGTGCGCTTTCAGCCCAGGAGGAGGAACGGAGGAGGAGAGAAGGAGGAGAGCTCCCCGCCCAGCGCTGGAAAAAGGTAAGTTTAACCCCTTTTCCCCTTTCCAGAGCCGGGCGGGAGGGGGTCCCTGAGGGTGGGGGCACCCTCAGGGCACTATAGTGCCAGGAAAACGAGTATGTTTTCCTGGCACTATAGTGGTCCTTTAACTACTCTGTTTTCCAATACACTGGAGATCTAAGACTTGTAAGGCTAATGCAACGTCTTTGTTTTCAGTTCTAGTTCATTTGAGTACATCGTTGATACTTTGTGGATGTTATTACATATCTTCTTTAATGCATTTCTCTCTGTGTTGCGTAGTCTGTGCAAATTTTACATTATTATAATGTCTAAATCAGCTTTTTATGATGGTGGCTGACTTTGGTCATTTGAGATAGTACAACTTTCAGTTCCCATTCAAATAAATACTCCCCCTTAAACTTCAGATAGACAAACACAAATTCCTTTGGAAACAAAGAACATAGTTTTTATGGACTACATGCAAACTAGATATTTAAAAGTAAATATTCTAGCAGTGACTGTAATAAATAAAATCTAGTCATTAGGAGATGAGTTTAAAATGAAGCTTCCTGTGATGTTCTAACTGCTCTTAGATTCTTTGCTTGTTAAAAAAAAAAACTGCTAACTCTCCATCACATTCATCTTGTTTTTGTAGTTCTACGCTAGAATGCTGGCAAAGCGATTAATTCATGGTTTATCCATGTCAATGGATTCGGAAGAAACCATGATCAACAAACTAAAGGTACTGTGGCATAATCCATGACATATCCTGACATTTAATCTGTGCATACTACGAAGTGATAGGTAGATGGTATTTAGTTAATGACAAAAAAAAAGTTTGTGTTATTTTTCTTCTCTTTAACAGCAAGCCTGCGGGTATGAGTTCACCAGCAAGCTGCATCGAATGTATACCGACATGAGCGTCAGTGCCGATCTCAACAATAAGTTTAACAATTTCATCAAAACCCAAGAAACCATGGTAGACCTGGGTATTAGCTTTCAGATCTATGTATTGCAGGTGAGCTTCACATGCTACACAGCGTTTATTATATGTGCGCAGTCTCCATATAATACAATGTGTTGTACCTCTTGTAGGTCTCCACATCATGCCCACCACAACATTGTTTTACCTTTTCTTCTTTCATAGTTCTTTCACAAGATATACGTACTGTTACTGTATTTTGTCTTGTATGGAAATATGCAAAGTATATTTGAGATGCTGAAATGTGTATTCCAATCTTAAAACTTAGATTTGTGTGGAGTAAGCATTTATGTTTGCTTGGATAGGGAGGGTATGTGTAGTGATAGATGGATAAATAGAGGGATATAAAAATAAAGTGTGTGTGTCTGTGTTTTTTTTTGTTTTTGGGAAGGAATTTTGCCTTGGCGCCTGGGATATGTGAGCCAGTTACGTCCTAGGTGGACAACAAGCTGGGGGATTGTGGAGTCATGATGTGTGTGTTTTAGGTGACCAGACCCCTTCCGTTTGCAAGGGAATGATTCTTTTACTTACCTTTTTTTTCCCCTACACCGTGCTGGTCTCCCCTCGCCTGGCACTGCCTCTATGGCTGTCAAGCTTGATGATCTCAGCCAATCCAATGTTTTCCCATAGGATTGGCTGCAAAACGCTGCACTAATCAGCATCTCCTAATAGAGATACATTGAATCAATCCATCTCTATGGGGAACGTTCAGCGCCTCCATGCAGAGCGTGGAGACATTGAATGTAGATGCTGCACTGGCACAGGAAGCACCTCTAGTGACTGTCACTAGCGGTGTCACTAGGAAGCAATGTAAACACTGCATTTTCTCTGAAAAAGCAGTGTTTACATTGAAAAGCCTGCAGGGATAGGCTATAGACACCAGAACCATTACATTAAGCTGTAGTGATCCTGGTGACTATAGCGTCCCTTTAAGAATTTTATTTTTGTCGTTGAATAAAAAGTTTTGTATGTTAAAAAAATAAAATAAATAAATAATCTGGCTCCTAGATTCAAAGCAAATTTGTCAAACCCTGATCTAGCCCCCCTGCCTGCCCCTCCCCCATCTAGTACCCCCCCTAAATATAGTAAATTCTTACCTCAATTCCAGTTTGCTGGTGCTGGCTCTGCCACTGATCTTCCTCATCGGCTGACATCATCAGAAGTGGTGATATCAGCCAATCAAAATGGTTTACCATAGGAAAGCATTGTATGGGCTGAGATTATCAAGGAGGCAGATCAGGGGCAGAACCAGTACAAGCCACTCACAGCCCTGGTCAATCAGCATCTCCTCATAGAGATTAATTAAATCAATGTATTTCTATGAGGGAAGTTCAGTGTCTCCATGCAGAGGGTGCAGCGCTGTCCCAGAAACCACCTATAGTAGCGATCTGAGGCAGTAATGTAAACACTGCCTTTTCTACTCTCCAGAACAAATACAATAAGATGTAGTTGTTCTGGTGACTAGTGTCCCTGTAAAGGGATACTCCAGACCCATAAAGCATTTTAGCTTGCTGAAAATCTTTGTGTGTGTCCTCTTTTTTTCATTTTGGAAATAGTGCAGATTTCAATAGAAATTTAAATTTTTATAAATTAACCTGGTTACACCGCTCTGGCTTTTCAAGCAGACAACAGATAATGTTACTTCCTGGTTTAGTTAGCTGATTTGCACTGAACTTGAGGCTGCCCAGTGCAAAGACTTCTCATTGAACTGCATTGGGAAGTCTGTGATTGGACAGCCACAGCTAGTCTGGGTGGGGTTATGATGATAAAATGCCTTATTAAATGCATGCACATTTTAATTTGGGGCTCATCTACTAAAAGTGCTTTTTATTTATTTTGTATTTGGGCAGTGGAGCGTCCCTTTAATAAAAAAAACCTTTGTTTCAACAACAGAGTTTTGTTGTTCCTAAATGAAGCAGTACGGTATTTTGGATTACTGTGGTATGGAATATCATTTTGGTACACATGTAGAATCATTTTTTGTGTGTGGGTGACTCTAGCTCTGTAGCATACTTTTAGGAAGTCAATTCTTTTACTGATCTACCTTCTCTGTGAACGGACACCTTCATGATTATCACTTTGCTGGCAGACTTGTCAGTGTGGTAGATTGCACATTGCTTGCCACTACTGCAGGAAGCTTCAGAGGATATATGCAGTCTGTGTGTGTTACAGCAAAGAATGTTGTGAATGCATCCACAGAGGGACGAGGGAGAGTCACAGTGCTTCCAAATAGTAAAACATTTTATTTTAACTTCCGTCAACGAGTCTAAAAGACATTGTGTCTCCACTGTGTTATTACTGATGTTATTGGAGCTGTGAATATTTACATGTTTACTGTACACGAGGTATCCTTCTAAGAGTGTCTGGAAGTTTTGCGTTCTTTTTCAATAATAACTTTATATAAAATTAAAAAACAGGTGCTATTAAAGGACAAAGTTCTAAATATGGAGCAATCAATATTTAGAACTACCCACCCAGAATAGCACCTGTTTTGCCTTGATAAAACCTCCCCCATATATTAGCAAGTAGAGAACTTTTACTTTTCAAATGCCGAGGTATAATTTGTTTGTGTATCCCTCTCATCCATCCTCCCCCCATTTTTCATTACATACATTTGAGCGTCAGATGGTTATGTAACAGCCCCCCTTAAATGGTTTTCATATGTTAAGGTAAATCCTCTCCAGCTGTGGTTTTTGTCTATAAATTAGGGATCGACCGATATTGATTTTTTAGCGCCGATACCGATATTCTGTGAACTTTCAGGCCGATAGCCGATATAATTTGCCGATATTCTGTACATTTACCATTTTGGAAAATAAAAACTATTTCTAAAGGTAAATGCACAAAATATACATGCCACATGTAGTGGATGCAGTGTGACAGGGGAGCTGTGTGTGTTTGTGTAGTGTGTGTGTAGTGGATGCAGCGTGTGTTTGTGTAGTGTGTGTTGAGGATGCAATGTGTTTGTGTAGTGGATGCAGTGTGTATTTGTCGAGTGTGTGTAGTGGATGCAGTGTGTATTAGTGTAGTGTGTATATTATGAAAGCTGTGTTTGTGTAGTGTGTGGGTAGTGTGCATAAAGTGAATGCTGTATATAGTAAATGCAAAGTGTGTATTTGTGTAGTGTGTGTGTATAGTGAATGTAGTGTGTTTATATAATGCAGAGTGTGTGTGTTTGTATACTGTGTGTATATAATGCAGTGTGTTTGTGTAGTGTGCATTATATAAACACACTACACAAACACACTGCATTATATACACAAACTATGCAAACACACTGCATTATATACACACTCTACACACACTGCATTATATACACACACAGCATTATATAAACACACTACACAAACACACTGCATTATCACTACACTACAGTGTGTTTGTGTAGTGTGTGTATATAATGCAGTGTTTGTGTGGTGTGTGTATATAATACAGTGTGTGTGTGTAGTGTGTGTATATAATGCAGTGCATTTGTATAGTGTGTGTATATAATGCAGTGTGTATTTGTGTGCATTGTATACACACACACTGCATTATATACACACTACACAAACACACTGCATTATATACAGTGTGTTTGTGTAGTGTGTGTATATAATGCAGTGTGTGTATATAATGCAGTGTGTGTTTGTATAGTGTGTGTATATAATGCAGTGTGTGTATTTGTGTGCATTGTATACACACACACACACACTATACACACACTGCATTATATACACAGTGTGTTTGTGTAGTGTATGTGTATATAATGGAGTGTGTGTGAGGGGGCATTTTTTTTATTAAATTATTATTTTTTAGATTTAATTTTTTTGTTGTTGTCCCCCCTCCCTGCTTGTTACCTGGCCAGGGAGGGGGGATATGACAGTCCCTGGTGGTCCAGTGGCATTGGCTGAGCTGGGGGGGGGGGGCAGAGCAAGCACTTACCTCCCAGCAGCTCCCCAGTGCAACTCTTGCGGCCAGCGTGTCGCGCTGACGGTCGCGGGTCTCGCTAGAGTTACACTGGGAAGCTGGAGGTCCCCCCAGGACCGCCGGGCTTGTAATGAGCCTGGCGGTCCTAGGAGGTATTATCGGCAATATCGGTATCTGAATTGCCGAAAATACCGAATATCGGCCGATTATATCGGTAAAACCGATAATCGGTCGATCCCTACTATAAATTATGTAATTCCATTGCCAATCCTTTAAAATTCCCAGTTGGCATCTTTACTTCCTTCTTACATTTTACTTTCCCAGACAAACCCATCTTTTCAAGCATATTTTCCCGGTATAAAGAATTGTTTGAAAAGCAATCTGTTATTTTCACAGCAATATAATTTGAATATCTCCCTCCACATGTCGGGTTAAGCATCCCATCTAGCTGTGAATAAAAGTATGAGTGAGTTTGCTTTCTGGAGATATAATTTATTGTGTTTGCCTTGCAGGCAGGTGCTTGGCCTCTGACTCAGGCACCATCTTCTACTTTTGCCATCCCTCAGGAACTGGAGAAAAGCGTGCAAATGGTAAGCTGGAGGTTATGCTGGCTTCAAAATATATCTTTTAAAAATCAGGTGTAGATTGAAGGTGTTTGATAAATGATCTGGCTTTCTGAGGATAATGGCATTTCTTATTCATCAGCCTTTTTGTATGTAACACCTGGTAGGCTAGAATGGGTAAAGTATTACAGAATTGAAATCTGTTAAGAGATGCACATGGTAGGGGAATATTCACCAATACAATAAGTCATCATGATAGGGTTAACTAGCACTGAGATCGCTTGGGAATAATACCCAAATAATGTATCAATTTGTTCAAAAATAAGACATACGCAGCAAAGGGGTTAAAAATATAAACAACTCCCGTCTACTTGCTGTGTTTTATTTTCTCACACATTATGGTGTGATAGAATAAGGGGGTCATTAAACTAAACCCTCCTGACTTACGGGAGTCCAGGAGACTCAGTTTGATTTTTATTTATAGATTTATTTGTATACATTTACCTTATATTTGCTAATAAGGCATTGGCAAAATCTTAGACTGAAAAATAGTGACATTGGAGAATATTTCCTATTTCAAATATTTCCCATTTGAAATAGCTATTTGTTAGCTTAAAATTTGCAAGGCACCATACCATTTGTATAGTTTCTCGAATTCTAAATCAGGCTGTCAGGCAGCGTTTGGAACTGCGCCTGGCTGGCAGGATGCATAGTTTGCTGATATGGAGGGACTGGCAAGGGCTGCTTCCCTGTGCGAGCTCTTGGAAGTCTAAAAACTGTTTGTCTGCGATGACTGGCACCACACCAGGTATCACAGCGAGTTGGAATAAGGAGTACTGCTTGCATTTCCCTCCAACTCATAGCTTTTGGTGAGAGGGCTTGTAAGCAGAACTACAAACTTTACTTTAAAGCCTTGTATTGTTTGTTTAAAAAGTTAGATAAACAGAAAAAAGTCTTCTTGTATCATACCTTGCCATCACATCCATAAGCTAAAGTGGTTATGGTACGTAGAGTGTTCTTTTGATTGTCCACAATAATGGTTAGGTGAATAAGCTGTACAGAGTTCTCAAGTTGATTACCCTATGGCAAACCATGTTACGTTAGTCTTTTAGCTGGTATAGGTAAAGTTAATGCCAGGACTGGACTCTGAGTGCTTCATTACTGTGCCCAACTTATGGATAGGTTATTAATGCAATCTTAAAATTTCAAAAGCTGCAGTTTATTAGTTTCAGGGACTGTAAATCTTTAACAGTCACTGGAATCCAAACCATTGCAGTTCTAAACAACTTCCTGTAATGCTGATTGGGTAAGCTCGAAGTGGCATGGAATATATATATATATATATATATTTTTAGATCTCTTATTGCTGCCAGACTGGATCAGATTATTAGATGGCTATTCCAATAAACACATCCATGTTGCACAATATTTGTGTATTATTGATGAAGGTTAAGTTTATTGGAAATGGGCTACATAAAAGAATAACTAGAGAATAATGTGCCAGTCTAATGACCTAAAATAATAAGATTTATGCTGCAGACAAACACAAGCTTGCTATGGATCCCTGGAAAAAAATTGGGAAAAGCAGCCGAAATGTGGTTGTGTAGATTAGATGTATAATCTTAAAGGGGTACTGTCACTTCTTAATATTATGTTTACTTATTACTACTTTTGATAAATATGTTTTTGTGAGATGTAGAAACCCAAACTCCGTAGACTGCAACTAAGTGCCTCCTTCGTTCAATCGTTGTTATAAGTTCTGTCATTTGCACCTGTAAGCCAGTATAGAGAAAGCTTATAGAGAAGAGGAGAAATGAAACCGTGTTTCTCTTTCTCCTCGTCATTAGGGTTGTGTAAACCTGACTTTGCTTTGTCTGAACTGGATTAGGATGTTGTGTGCTATATCTTTTATTTGAACAAAAAAAAAATGTAGATGTTAAAAAAGCATTTTGTATAAAAGAGTTTCAATGGCAATGTCACAGCTCACGGGCAGGGCCCTCTTTATCTTGTGTATATTATCCCATTTTATTTTTTATTTTTGTTTTATTCCCCCAATTGTACAGACTATGTTGGCGCTTTAATAATAATGACACAAATTATAGGTAATTTTTCAAGGATTCTCTTCAACAGTATACATTTCAGAAAAGTGACCATTCCCCTTTAAAGGCTATGGCTTTTACAATTGTGCAAAGTATTCTAATTGTAGAATGATAAATTCTGATGTGTAGCAGAGAGATTCTGAGTACCATTGATTTAACATAGTTGTGAATCTTTTATGGGGAATCCTGAAAAACATCTAACTCCTTGAAGGCATCTCTAAACAGTAACAGCATGTTCCGAAACACAAGTTATTGCTTAAACTAAGGAAATGCTTCATTATAGGGGAATTTGCCTCTAACTGTCATTATATCATTTATGTGCTAGCGACTTTAAGAGAAACTATAACTTTCTAGAGGGGATTCTGTTGAAATGATCACTGTTTACCGTTTGATGGTGTTGACAAATGCAAGAAAAACATGCACTCTTTTCTTACAATTCTCTGGTACAGTTAAGTAGTAAAATTGCTTTCTGAAAAGGCACATATATGGCATTATAACTCACCATCATTGTACTTATTTTCCTTTAATATTATTTTAAACTTGAGTCTGATTTTAAAGGTATTAGGTAGACTGAAATTCAGCAACATTTCTGATTGATGGATACTCTGGGGGTCAGTTTATTGGCATCATTGGTACAATCGACATTGAATTTAAGAGCACATATAAAATTGCAAGTATAAATCGGTATGGCTACAAGGAAGTGTGTAATTGCTGCCGAGTGGGGGCCGAGCTATAAGAAGCCAGGGACTCTCTCAAAAATGGTTTAACGCTGAATGAAGGGTGAGAAAATGTATACTGTTGAAGAGAATCCAAGCACTTTAACCAATTTAATGAGATGGAATGGCTGTAGTGCCTACAGCGGTGAGACGTTCAAATGGAATATAGAATAAAGGATGGCTTTATATTGTAAAGAGCATCTGCAGGGAGAGAGGAATTTTAAACATTTATTGGGATGAATTCCCTGAGGAACTCAAGTACAGAAAGTGGATGTTTTGTATTTACCCTTTCATATGCCCCTTTAGTATTCCAGTTTATCTGTGCAGTGTAAAAGTAGTATAGGAAGTTTAGAAGGCTCACTCACACGTGTTATTTAAAGGGACACTCCGGGCACCCAGACCACTTCTGCCCATTACCTTGCAGGGTTTAGTCCTCCTCTAGTAGCTGTCTATAAGACAGCCATTAGAGGGACATCCGTGTCCCGTTGTCATGGCACAGCCCTGCAAGGCGTGGCCGCCCCTTTAAGAGACCTGGCTGGATTTGAACTCACAGCTCCAGCATCCCAGTCAGGTTCTCTACCATGATATCCACCAGGGGGCAGTTTTTGTTTGCCTTCTTCTGCTTTCTGACCCCTTGCCTGTATTAAGCAGTGCTCATCCACCTGCAGCCCTTTTCCAATTAGGGTCAGCTGCACCTAATTAGCAGGCTGTAAAAGCCAGCCCTGCCGGAGACCGAGTATCTGGTCATTTTGCCTGTTTGGTGTTTCCTGCCGGATCTTTGCTACGTTACTGACTGATTTCCTGGACTCTGACCTCTTCCTGATTTACTGACTTCGTTACTCAGCTGCCAGCCCTGACTTCTGCTTCTCGTCTGACCCTGCCTTTTGATTTCCCCTTAATCTGTACTGCGCTTCTGGTTTTTACCTCCTTCCTGTGACATCTCCTGCAAATGGGCTCCAACTCCTGGTAAACTGTTTCATAAGTCCCCAGGTGACTGTTACACCCGTTAACGTGTTCTATTAAACGACGCTGGACGTCCTCACGCTTGATTGAATAATGCTTTCCCATGGGGAGTTCTAATGTGCGCAGGTGGCCATTGCCGCACATGTTCATTAGGTCTCCCCCGCTGGCTGACTTAGGTGGGGGAGGAGTCTGACCCAGCGCCGAGGGACATCGGCGCTGGATTCAGGTAAGTCACTGAAGGGGTTTTAACCCCTTCAGCAACGTGGGATGGGGGGCGGCAGGGAGAGGGGCACTGCATATGTTTTCCTGGCACTAGAGGGTCCCTTAAAAACCTCCACCACTTCTGTGTATTTTCTAATAGTAATCCCTGGAGTTTGAATACACCACATACAAATCACTAACATTTTTAATATAAAAATCCTAGCTTTGAGAAACCTGATTTAAAATAGTGATGAATGATGACAGCTGCTAGATTTGATATTTATTGAATGATTTCCCAATATACAGTACAAGTTCCAAAGACCTCTAATACTTAAATGGTAAAGTTGCCAGACTTGTGCTATTTTTTAATAACTTGTCGTCTTAATATTAAGCTGGCCATTCATCAAGTAATTTAGTTACGTTTTGGCATTTCAAACACTTCAAACTGTATTTAGTGTCTCCATAAACTGAAAGTATTGCAAAACACAGTCTCGCATACTGTCTCACAGGACGACCCCCTGTATGTGCTGCCTACATAATGTCTTTTTTAATTTGTTAAAGACCCATTAACATCCCTGCAGGGAACAATCACAGGTTTAGATTCATTCCAGATGTGTCTTAATGAAGTGCTTACTATTCTGCTTCACCCTGCTTATCCACTCAGAACTACAATATATAACAGAAATGGTAATGTGCATAAACTTGTATATATGGGTTCAAACCTGTATCTTTTAAATATCCAGTGACACAATTGCAGATACCATTCCGGAGGTGTTAATGTTTATAAAGTGTTCATCGGCAGCCTCCTCAGGAAGACATGCTTTATTCTCCCATATAACATCAATAAACATGTTTTGCTTTTTTTTGTGATGCATTGCAGTAACTATATTGTCTACGCATTCACATCAACTACCTGTTAGAAACTGTGGCCGATAGAAATCTCTGATCATATTTTTGATACAGCCACAATTCCTGTGGTGTTTCAGAGGAAGTACTGTCAGAGGTAATTATTATATATAAAGCGCCAACAAACCGCGCTGTTCAGAAGGTGGACTAACACACAAGTTCCAGCAAGACATGTTGGACGTACAGGTACTGAAGGTGCTGAGTGCCCTGCTCAAACAAGCTTCCATTTCTTGGCTAATGGGCTAAAATGGCACAAAAAGTGAGGACAAGATGCATTTCATGTATGAGAATAGTAGGTTGCTATAAGATTTTACTTCAAAGGCTTGGTTCTTTTTAACTGACACAGTTGCAGCAGGGAAAGCAAGGTGGGTTAGTGAGGTGTGAGGAGGGAAAGCTATTAACCATTTAATTGCAATGCCTGCTTTAAGAAGTGAGTTTTCAGTGATCATTTATTATAGTGAAGGAATTGAGGCTGGGTAAGAACAGGGAAATTAGTTCCTTAGGAACGGCACAGCACACTTCTTTCTTCTGTATTCCTAATGATCTGGTCAGTGCTACAGGTATTTGTATACCTCCTTCCCCATGTGCAAAAAACGAATTAAATTCACTGAAATTCCAACCCAGTAAAAAGATATACTGAGAAATAATAGGGGCTACTTTGTCTGTGTTTTACCTACGGCTGATACTTCTAGACATTGTGGGGTGCTACTGCTGTCAACAGTGACAGCTGCAGGGAATTGGTTCGGTGTATGGATGATCCCGCAATCTCGTGCATTAAATTGATGCTCTCCTATGGGAATTTTACTGACACTAGATGTCCTCATAGAGGGCTTAAAGGACGTCCAACATCAGTTAGGTGACCAAAAGATGCCTAGCAAGCACCTCTAGTGGCTGTCTGGTAGGCAGCTACTAGAGGCTGTCTAAAAGCTGCAATGCAAATATTGCAGTTTCTCTAAAACTGCAATGTTTTACATTGCAGCACTAAGGGCAATAGGGACACTGTACCCATATCACTTTAATGAACTAAAGTGGTCTGCATGGCTATAGTGTCCCTTAACTCTTGGTTTTGAGCTGGAACAATGCTTAAAGCGACACTCACCTGGAAATCCACACATCTGTTTAGTTTTTATTAATAAGCAATTCTCAGACCCACAGTAACACTGAGTAATAAAGACAGCAGAGAACATTGTCAGCAGCCAATCAGAATCTCACTTCCCATTATGTCGTAAACTGGAACTGTTTCTTAGAATTCTCTGTGCCAAACATGGCCAAAGTTATCTCGAAATGCTGGAAGTTTTTTATGCTGTACAGATTTTTAAACCTGATCTACAGGACATGTAGGGAATTTGATGGTACATAGACTACTTCTAATAAGAGAACCACTTTAATGTTTGAACACGTGCTCCTCATCTAAGATATGCTTATTTGCCCATTACCTTCTTTACAGATAGGTTATAGAATGTCACTTGCCATGTTGGCCAGTTCTGGCTTCTCTATACTGGGCTCCCAGTACCCCAGCCACTCTCATACACCAGCTGGTGAAATAGTGATGGTGTTTGTAATATGGAAGCATCTTGTGGTGGGAGCTAAACCCACTATATTTTGTGTCTGCTCTTAAAAAAACATGCTTCTTGAATAGAAAGAAAACGTAGTTAAAAAAATACCTATAAATGTTCTTTTAACCCCTTAAGGACCAAACTTCTGGAAAAGGGAATCATGACATGTCACACATGTCATGTGTTCTTGAGGGGTTAATCAGTGCTGTGTCGTGAGATTTGTCCTTATTCTAATTTGGTCTTTCTCCCATTTTGTTTCCCAGTTTGAATTATTTTACAACCAGCATTTCAGTGGCAGAAAGCTGACGTGGCTGCACTATCTATGTACAGGTAATGGAAAGCATCAGTATAGAGACTTACTTAACTTTTTCATGTTTGTGAATAGGTATAAGCTTGCAAAACTAACTTATGTGCACATAACTCACCACTTACACATATATATACAAAAGGACAATTACTCACACACATAGACATACATGTATAACTTGCCAGTAACGCAATCACCAGTATTGCAGTATATATGGGTCGGCACGCACTCCAAAATCGGACTACCACAGTGCCACCAAATCAGAGTTGTCCACTCTCATTAAGCAGGAAGGACTCTTCACAAGTGAACAATCCAAAAGCAGATTTATTGGACAAGGTAAGATAGCCTTTCTCAAGCCAACAAGAAAACAAACTAGCATGGTGTATATAGCATTCAAATGTATAATTGTAATTGCAAAAACGATCAATACCCTGTGCAAATTTAGTTAGAACGTGTGCAGCATCATTTAGACACAATGATGACGAAATATTATCAGTGGACATACATTCAAATCATTAAAGTGCAAATAACAGAATAATAGGACAATGTCACAAAAATATCCGTGTAAATCAATAAAAAAAAAAAAGCCCCCTTTATGGAGAATATCCAAACGAGGGTGGGCAGTACGAGTGGTTACCCTCAACTCTTGGCATGAACCCTACTAATACGAATACTTGTAGTAATGTATAAAACAAAAATCAGGGAAAATCTCTCTGGAGAAATCCGTCTTAAGTAAAAAAAGATAATTGGTTAAAAAATTTAACTAACAACATATAACCATAGATGAGGAGGATAACTATATATTCACTAGAAATTGGTAATCGGTATGTTTGTGATGGGTAAACCAACCGGCTTTTTTTATTTTATTTTACAAAAATGTATTAACCATACCTAGTGTAAAAGCATAGAAAAGTCTATTGCTTATTATCCAAGTGATATATTAAAACATATATTCTCTCAAGTTACCAATGTCTATATAACATGGGACTGTTTACTGAAAAGAGCCCCTTATAATATAGTCCCAGTTAGACCTGAAAGAGGTGCGCTTATGTCGACAGACATTAGATGAAAAAGACAAATAAGGGAGAGACTCCCTAAGATGTTAAAGGGTTAGAATAGGAGAAAAAAGATTTATATGGAGGAGTAAAACGCACGTAATTATAAGACCTATATCTTAACACAGGTCAATAAAACGTTAGTACAGGACAATATCTACTGTGTAAATATATCATAAATTTACCCTAAGTGGAATAGAGAAGGGTAGTGTATAGTGAAAGGTACAGAATCTTAACCTCTTAATATCACAAAAAATATTTTGATGAATTTTCTAATACTTTATTAAGCCCAAAGATAATATAGCCTTGAACGCGTATTCCAATTGGCCATGTTTGGTGACGTGTTACTTTGTGTTCTTCTTAGCTTGAGAAAGGTTCATTTGAACTAAAACATTGCTTTGTCCAATAAATTTACTTGTGAATCGTTCACGTGCCCGGTCCTTTCAGTTTTTATGCAATAAACCGTCACCATGCATTCATACACACTAATACAGATATACAAACATTTTACGTACAGATGCACATAAACTTACGGAAACCGCTTTCACACTCCTGTTGAACTCCCTGGTTTAAATTCAGGCAGAGCTACAGGATGATGTGACGTCATCTTTTATTTGGTATTGTGCGTGTAAGTGAGAGGGAGCTGGGAAAGCTCTTTCCTGCATTATCATACAGAGACAGCTAGCTCCCGCACGAATGCCCGGGACAACGTGGAGATCTTCCTTTTCGATTCGCCTATAACTGACTAAGGCCCTTGCTGGTGGTGAACACAATAGCAGTTCCAATACCTGGACAGAACATGGATAGAAACCCAGGGCTAACCCAAAGCCAGAGACCTTCACAGTCTGTTTGGATTTAAGTAGAAATGAGACATAGACTATAGTATGGGTCAAAGCCACCTTTCCATAGGGCATACAGTACATTGGAGCATACCAAGATGTGTGTGGGAAGTGTAGGAAAGCTGAAATCTGAGCTTATGTCAGGAAGCCATAGATAAACAAGCCAGGATCATAAGACCATGCGTGTATATAGCCACCACAGACAGGGGATAAGCGACAGGGGATTTAATAGAGAATGATACACGCACTCCTCTAAAACAAATACATCTATTTATATATTTAGATAAATACTGTTTTTAGGGATCAACATAAATTTTTGGGGATTAACTTTTCCTGAAGTTTATAACTCTAATATATTGTAACTTGCATTAGGCATTTATTACCAGGAAATGTTATTCCTTCGTCTAATGCATTTCGGCTGCATATTTGTTTTAATAAGCGGTGTTAGAGGCAGCATTCTGAGCGCACAGAGCTGGAGTCCCACTGTGACCATAATATAAGAGAGCCTGAGGTTTGAAACACATGTTGACATAAACAAATCTCTCGCACAAATTTCATGTGATCACTCAAAATATTTCAACAATAACAGACAGTCATAACCCAGCATGTGTTACTGAAACGTAGCAAGTAGATTACTCACTTTTATAATATTATAAAATTAGTTTTTACTGCTTCTGTGAGTCTTTTTCTGTTCGTTTTAGAGAAATAAAACAATCAAAAATCTGACTAAAGGCACCCATTTACTTGCGGTTTTGAAGATATGAGATTTGTGTGGGGAAGGGGGTTATTCTATTGATATGACTATTTTAAGGTTATTGTTGTGTAAATGTTAATATTGTAACTGTATAGACCTCCCTCCTGGTGACTGTCACTGGCAATATCTGAGTGTTAATGAGCTTTCTGTGGTTAAGCCTTTAGCCCTTTTAAAAGTGCCACTTGGGTGTTAACTGACCTCAGCATCATTCATGTTACATAGTTTAAAACCAAACTAAGAGTCTAGGTTAATTTCATCTCTGCATTTACACAATCGTATACCCTGAAAACAGAATTAAATGAATATTATGCAAAATAAAAATCTCTGAACAAAAGCTATCTGGGCATGAATAGTGTCTTGCCTAATTAAAATAATGAGTGAAGGACAGCCTTTCTGTTGTACTCCAAATACTACATCCCAATAGCAGAGTTTTTTTTTTTTTTTTATATTTTTTTTTTTTTTATTGTACTGGCATGACCAAATATCCCCACCGGACAACCATGTTTTACAAAAAATGTTTTTTAATGGTTATTATTTTCAAAGTTATACATAATATAAGTAGAGACTACTTTTTTTACGTATACCCTGCAGGTTGACAAAAGGCAGAGCTTTAGCCAAGCTCCACGTCCTTTGTCAGTTTTGTCATTGGACATTAAGCTCTTGGTCACATCCTTCCAGCATAGTGTCACTTCCTACAGCATCGCGTCATTGATTGTGTTGACTCTCACGCAGTCCTGGTATACTGGACATGTGTGTGACTTCACATGCACACCCTTGGGAGAGCAGAGGCAGGAATTTCCAGCGGCTGCCATCTTGTAAAACACTAAGATGGCTTTACATGAAGACTTGGCTTTAAAAACAGTGATTTTTTTTTTTTTTTTTTTACTTTACAGAAACATCAAATATTTATAGTAAAATATATATATTTGTGTTTTTGACATTCAACAAAGGTAATACAGTATGCTTTGTAATTAGGCATTTGTAAATTGTTGGCGATGTAAAAATCTTCATTTGTTTCTCTTAAAACTAGGTGAGGTGAAAATGAATTACCTTTGCAAACCATATGTAGCCATGGTGACCACGTACCAAATGGCTGTCCTGCTTGCCTTCAATAATAGTGAGACTGTCACTTACAAAGAGCTTCAAGACAGCACACAGATGAATGAGAAAGAGTTAACAAAAACAATAAAATCTCTGCTCGACGTGAAGATGATCAACCACGATTGTGACAAGGTAGGGGTGACGGTAACACCTATGTCTGATGTGAGAATGTACGTACCGGTAAGGAAGATCGCATCACGGCTTACTCCAAAAAGGGACATTTACTGTAACATTACTACACTTTCATGATTCGCAGGTCCCAATGGAGTCACAGGAGGACTTTATTGATACTCCAACAATAGAGACAGTAATAGGGCAGTAACACGTTCCACCAATCTGATAGTATCAATGAGTATCTGCAGTATTGTATTGTAGGGTTTGTATTTGTAATGCACTTGTTTTACTCCGTAACTACACTATTGCTATACCTTCTCTCTCGCTCTTTCCGAGCTAGTCACTATTCCCTTTTTCTATGCTTTTTCTCCCGTCCCTCATATTTCTTTCTCTTGTTTTTCTTATTTTCACCGTGGGTCTATCGAAACGTAGCTACTTTCTACCTTCTGAACAGATAATCATTGTTATAGTGTTGTCTATATTTATTATAAAAATTAATTACATAAAAAAGAAAACATGATACAAACAAAAACCCAAAAGCTGGAAAACACATTGTTAAATGCTGCCATGTTAGGTAAAATCTGTTCACTTTCTAAGCGTATAGGAAGGTGTTCCAATGTTTTGTGCAGTTTTACAATAATGGAGGATTTTTCCGATTGTATAAACCATACACAGAAATAATTACGCATATTAAATTATTAATTTGAACATTTGTAGGCTATAATATTTCACATCTATGTGGCAGTGACTGATGTTTAGATGTTTCTGGGTTTTTAGATGCTTAAACTGTTCAACAAAAATAAACGCGATAGATCGGCACAGTTTTCTTTGCATAAGGTGTAGCTGTGAGCAAACAAGTACACATCTGCTTACAGGGAATATAAAGTATCACAAACTACTAGAAAAACTGTCAGTGCAGATACGCTCCTATGTCTTGTTTTATCCATGCTGTCTGTGTTGTAGATACAATAAATAGGACTGTATGTGGTATATAATCTCATTTCTGACAACCTGAACAATGCATATGTGCGCTTCTGAAATTGGCAAATTTAAATATAATGTGCTTCTACATAAAATGCAAGTTTCGTCTTTTAAAGAACAGTCTCTGTTTTTCATGTAGGAAGATGTAGATGGAGACTCAACATTTTCATTAAATATGAGTTTCAGCAGTAAAAGAACAAAGTTTAAAATCACTACACCTATGCAGAAGGACACGCCACAGGTAAGATCCGTGAATGAATCAGGGTGTTTGTGTATTACTCATAATTTTTGAAGAGTTTGAGACTCTGTATTAAAGAGGTGCAACAAGCGCCTGTAGAACTGCCTATAGCATGTCCACATTTTTCCCCAAGTTCCGCCTTGGATATGTTAGGGATGCACAACAGTACATTATAGTATTATTTTACTTAAAGTTTATGTGTCTCAGTCCTCAATGCCCTGGATGTTTATTTCTAAGAAAAGCACAATCATTCACTTGGGAACATTTTGTCTGCTGGCCCTGCTTCCACAGTCTACAAGTAGGCTGAGTCAATCTAAGGGTTGTCTTGTTTTTTTTTTTGTTTTTTTTTAATCTGCAACCAATGGAAAGCTGGTAAACCGCAATTCATGTATTTCCTTGAAGGCCTAGCAGTGGACATGCGAAACTCAGGACTCAATCCAGCAATCTGACAATTATTACAATTATTATATAGCGCCAGCATATTCCGCAGCGCTGTACATAAGTTAAACAAAGCAAACACTAAATACCAACAAAAGGTAATTGGCATACTGAAAGCAGCCCAAATGAGCTCACAATCTGAAATATGGTCCCTGAATTTCAACTTGGCAAAAGTCGATTATTGATTTTCCAGCTCATAGCAGGTTGCTAATCTGTGCAGTGTTCCGGTATCTACGAGCTGGGAAATAAAATCTTACCAAAACCTGCACATGCTTGCTGGGTAAAGACTATTCGAAACCACACTTCCAGTGTACTAATAATTCCATATCTCCAACAGTTTTCTTTTGTTTGTTTTTTTGAAAAATATATAATTACGTTAGCTGCCAATAAAAAAAAAAAAAAAGCGGTTACCAGCCTTATTTTTTCATGTTAAATGCAGGAATTTATTTGCTTAAATGGCAAACTGCAGTGAATTCAAAACTCAACTGCTAAAATAGCTGAAAGTTTTGCAAATCATATTTCCATTTACTGCAGCTCACTACTTACTGAATGCAACCCACTGATTGCACAGTAAAGATTTGTAAAGATTTGTCACTGAGATGCAGGTTATCGAAAGGGAAGTACATGGGTTTTTTTTTTTTTAGTGTGTAGTTTAGTAGAGCGTGTGTAAGCCAGTAGCTTGCAAGGCAAAAACAAAACTAGCTTATTTCATGCAAGTACATCACTAAAGTTGGTGGACCTGAAAATTGTCCTTCAAGGGTTTTTTGACAAAAATGGTTGACATAGCTTGACAATTGATTTTCAAAAGGAACAAAACAGGATTGTAAAAAAGCTTTTAAAACTCTCCATTTTCAGTTATTATAGGCAGGTACTATGCATAAAACAGCTCACTTTCAATGACTCAATCCATTGTCCGTTTGTTCACATGAATGAAAGAACACACTTGCGACAGAATAAAAGCAGCACATTAGAAGAGAAAAGGGACACTATGCATGATTGCACGAGCAAAGAAAGTTCCCTGTGTGTAATACAGGTTTCTGGGAGTGACCGATTAGCATTTGTAGATAGATGCAACAAAAAAGAAAACACTGTGCTGTATTGCATCTTCACTCATGGCATCATCTCCTGCGTTTGCAACCTCCTCTATGGAGTGCAATAAAATTCAAGATTGACTGAAATAACATTTTATATAGAAAAGAAAATTAGACATTTGGAACAAAAAATAGTCACCCTCCTAGTGAAGGACTCATTTTGGCATGAATTGGTCCATTATAAATTAAATATGGTTGGTTATGGTGGTCACATTTAGGATGCCATTCAGGAGCCCAGCAGACACAACTTCCTTCCTTAGCCAGTTCAGTCCTCCTACCAATCTGACCTCCCATTATTCCCATTAATCAGTTAATCATGCATTTGACGGATCAGTGAAAGCCCCTCTTGTCACAGTCTATGCTTTTCTTGTGTTGGAAGTATTGGAGTAAGAATCCACCCCTCCATCATCCTTACGATTATCGCGATTGTGTTTTGCATTGTATTGTTGTCTGCAACCTAAACCAAAAAAGAAAGTAACAAAATATGTAACTTCACAAATGCGTGTTTCTCCTCTCCAAACACTGCCATGGCTATTTCTAAGTGAAACAAATGTTCAGAACAAATTAATTCTTTAAAAAGCGACTTATGACCCCAGTTTTTTAGGATCCTTTAAGGATAATTCAGCCTCTACTTCAGGATAGCATCCACTGGGGTCAGTGTAGCTTGATCTATAACCATCCAGCTGGGAGGATTTAAACTAATTGATGTTAATTAGCACATGAATACTCGTCCAAATACGCTCGTGATTTGGTATTTGGATTAGACAGATGTGATCACTTATTTAGCCATTTCAAATATGCTTCTCAAACCAACTTACATTTAGAAGGAACTTTTAGGAAGGGTTGTTTTTTTTTTTTTTTCATTTATTAAACTTAACACTAAACTTATTTGCCAACAGTCATTTTTGTTTTTGCATGCTTGTTTGGGTACAGCACTAAAGTTTGAAGAAAGTAAACTCAGAATTTTAAAGTCCTGTAACCTATATAAAGTCCCATCTTTTTTGGTTTGTTTTTAAGCATTTGGTTGCATTACTTATATTAAGCAATTTAATATTGGGGACATCGTCAGCCTAAAGTGTTTTATGGTATTAAAGGGACAATCCAGACTTGACTTTTTTTTTTTTCATTTTAATTTTACAAAAAGTGCAGATTTCAAATGAAATTGGCACTTTCATAAATTAACCTTGCTACACTCTCCGGCTGTCAATCGGACAACTGGTTCTGTTACTTCCTGGTTTGGTTAGTTAAGGGGAGCTAACCTCGAGAGTCAGTAACTGCCCAGAGCACATGCCTTGTAAAGCTGCATTGGGAAGCCTGTGATTGGATAGCCACAGAAAGTCTGGGCTGTGTTAGAAAGGGAGGGCTAGCAAAGGCTTCAGGGAAGTTATGTACAACTTTATTAAGCTGTTTTTACATATAGCTCAAATGGAAAAAAATGCATTATTAAATGCATACATACATGTTTTCATTGGGGTTATATCTATTAAACAGGGCTTTTTAAAATGTATTTATTTGCACAGTGTGGTGTCACTTTAAGGCAGTCATGCTCCTCCTGCTGGGGACAATTCCTTAGTGTCCCCAGAAGCAGGGCACCAGGTGACAAATCCAGGACAACACATTTATTTTATTTGGGCAGGGGATTATGTCTTTAAAGTGACACTATAGTCACCAAATTAACTTTAATTTAATCATGCTCCTGCAGTCTCACTGTTGATTCTTTGCCATAGTTAATGGGTTAAATGAAGTTGGTTATACAGCCTTAGTCACACCTCCCTGCATATGAACTATAGTCTTCCAAAACACTTCCTGTTAAGAGAGATCTCATGTTAAGACTTCCTTTAAAGCACAATCTGTTTAATAAAGAATATATCTCTTGCCCTGTTAATAGCTTGCTTGACCTTACATGATTGTCCTGTCTGTGATTAAAGTGCAATTTACGGAGCATGAGTTAAAAACTTCTAAATTAAGTTAACATCTGATTGAAAATGAAACATTTTTAAAAAAAAACTTTTTACATGCAGTCTCTGTGAGGTGTGGCTAGGGCAGCATGAATAGATACAAAGGTTCTCCAACTCCTAAATGGTAAAGAAGTGAGCAGTGAAACTTCAGAGACATGATCTATACACATAAAACAACATCATTAAGCTAAAGTTGTTTTGGTTATCAGTGTCCCTTTAAGCAATAGATTGCTATATTGCTTGCGTTTCCATTCGTTTTGACCTAACGTAATACCTAACACCATAAAAGATGCCATAAGGAATAGCAAGCTATATGTTGTGTCTCAATTAGTTTGGTAAACAGTTGTATGGGTTCTCTTTCCTCTTTGTTATGTACCATATGTTTGTGGCTTTATACTTTCTTGCACTATATAAGTCTGCACTGTGGTGTGATTTGTATTCAGGGTAGAGTTTTAAAATCTGATCTGCTGAAAAGCTTTGACCTGAATTGGTGATCTCATCTGTCTATGATGCCATTTGAGCATAGTGCTTTATTGGGCCTTAATACTTCAGGGTTGTTGGTTGTTTTTTTTTTTTGTTTGTTTTTTTTTAAAATTAATATTATAATTTTAAATTTATTTTTTCTGGAAATTTTACATATGAAATAATATTTTTTAAATGGCTTTCGGAGATACCTAGTATGGTGGGTAGAATATATATGTGTAAAGGTTTTTATAAAATATAAAGAGCAGTGTTTTTTAGGATGCATTTGATATGTTTTGACCATTTTTGTGCCACCATTTTTTACTTTTTCTTTGGGCTACCTTACGTGCTGTGTGACCTGAGATAATGGTTTTTATGTTATTATTGTATTTACAGTGTAAGTTAATATTGGTTCAGATATTTTCTCATTTACTTTTTCACTTACTACAGAGTATGCGTTTTTATTTAATTTTCTTATGCATTTTGTATGATTTTGTTCTTGTAAAATATGTATGATTACAGTATTTTTAATGTGTTACTATATATATTAATAGTTTGAAGGTTTTATCAGCCACTTCCTTCCCTTTGACCCTTTCCTTTTAATCTATTTTTATTTTATAACATGTTGCAGTAAAAAAAATATATATTTTTATTAGAATTTAGATGGAAATGACCTCTGTTAATTTTCCAGTTCATATTTATTCTAAAATTGTAAAATGGCCTTCTGATAGTATAAATATAAATAAGTATTAAGGCCTTTGTATTGATAGGAATTAGCCCTTTCTTATTCAAGAGCAGTTGAGTACACACCCCTTTAATCAAAATTCCTTTTATACATGTGGCTGTTTAGAGGTGTACCTTGTGGTTGGTAATCTTCCTGTTTGGATGTTTACCCATAGTAAATGTTAAGTATACTTTCAATAAAGCGTTTGCTTTTTTATGCTGTGAATTTTTGTGAATGTCAGTGCGTACCGTATTTGTTTTTTCCTTTCGATATTGCAGCCAATTAAGTACCATTTCAAAGTATTAACAGGGCTTGTGAAACGGGCAACGCAGATAAATGCGAATGGTGTTTATGCACTGTGCCAGCCACCTAAAATAACTTCATCCCTCTAATCCTTATAGTAGAGATGGCTAATATGTCACCCCCACCTTGTGTGGACAGCAGTTTCTATGGTAAATCTGAGAGTTGAATGGGTTGATACAGTTGAATATTAAATCTGTTAGGGCTTTGATACAAATAAAAAAACAGAACTCGTCAAAGTTGACACGTGTTTGAAACGCATGGGTCAAATTTGCTCCTACTCAATTTTTTTCATCTCATCAAGGGGTCACAACCCACCTGCGCTGACGAATCTATGCTTTGGAGAGGAGAAAGGCGCTTCTCTCTGGTAGGTAACTACCTATTCTTCTTGGGAGAAAAAAAATATAGAGAGAAGGATTGACAATGTCACATATTAGACGATCATAAGACTTTATGCCCTCCTTCCACAAACTCCATAAAAATGAACATGTAAATGCAATAATGCTGAAATGCAACACATTATCAGATTTATTACTACAACGTGAAAGGATTTTTATTTTTAATAGTTGTTAATTGTGGACAACTAGCAAGGGAATTGTACATTTTACGCGAAAATCGATTACTTGTACAATTCAACTCATTTCCAAGTCTACTATTTTGGTCAAACAAATAATACAATTCTCTGCGCATGATTTGAAGTTAAGTGAACTATCTCCGTATAAATTAGAACCTAGTGAGAAGTAAGGGGCAATGTGTATTTAATGTCATTAAAGTGCTTTCTTTCCACTGCCACTATTCTACTGTTGTACAGGCATCGGCTTTTCAAGCTTTGCTTTCAGTCGTTTTACTTTCCAAAAACAAAAGCTGTTTTTTGGAACTCTGGTTTAACCCCGTAGGAGCTGCTCTAATGACTGAACGTCTCTTGTGTTTCATTCCTCAGGAGGTGGAGCAGACACGAAGCGCTGTGGACGAAGACCGTAAAATGTATCTTCAAGCTGCTATTGTTCGCATTATGAAAGCACGCAAAGTACTGCGGCACAATGCTTTGATACAGGAGGTGAGCGGCCATTGCTTCTTTAACCGATAGATTCCTTTAGTAACATTCAAAGTTTCTCAATATTAAAGCCTTAATGTAGGCCAATCCATAGTTCTTGAAAAGGACGGCCATTTTAATGTTTTCTTGTCTTCATCAATGGGAAAATGTATAACTATACGTTTCTTTTTTCAGGCCACATAATATGCCGGGGAGGAGGGTTGCTTATTAACTTTTGACACTAAATTCAAGTTAGACTCGAATATACTCTAATCTAAAATCCATTTGTGTAATATTGGTGTGTAGACAATTTGTATACGTAATATGTATGTCATTGTACCTCATTTGTTTTTTGAGGGTGGACCTCATTTTTTTTCCTACTGCTTAGTGATCATCTTCACCACTAGTTTGTATGTTTTAGGTTCTTTGTAGCACTTTGCGTTAAGCAAATTAATGGGGGGGAATAGGATTTACAAACAGCCCACTGCTGTACCCCCACAACCCCAGTGGTAGATTTAAAAATAACATTTGTGCTTTTCCACCACTGGCTTGTTCGGGCAGGACATCATGAGGTCCTGCAGTGTAGTAATTGCATAACTGGTGCAGATTGTGATGAGAGGACAAACTAATGAATAACAAATAGTCTGTAAAGGGCACGGGGCACTGTAGATGTACTACCAAAGCACAGACTTTCTTACTATTCACCATCTGAGCTGAGATGAAGGAGGGAAATGAACGACCTCTCTAGGCTATATCTGTGGAAATCCCAGACTAATGTTTATTTGATTTTATTAACGTTCTTGTTTAACCTCAATCAAAGTTCTATTATTTTTCTCTTTGGATGGCAAAATGGCCAACCAACGGAAAGACACACAAGGAGGGGTCTCACACAACAGTAAAGAATAAGACGTTGTAGGTGTCCATTTGACCGTCTTTTATCAGAAGTAACAATAGATGAACAAATATATCGCAGATAATAAAAACTAGTTCAGTAAATACAAGAAGAAAGCGTAGCATATAAAGCAAGATTAGACATTTACATGCCATGATTTAAATGAGAAGAGGTGCAAAAGACGGGGGACAGAGGCCGATCAAATCAGAAGTTGCTGACCCACCATAGGTAATAAATGGTTTACATTATGTTGACTTATCTATCGGCACCGCTATAGTAAATCTCCATCAGAAAGCCAAATAAAAATGTCCGTGTGTTTAGCAATGCTTCAGAATTAGATTATTTTTTTTTCTTCTTGCTTATTGTATGCTTAATTTTCAGCGTTTGCTCTTGTTTAAGAGTTTGTTCTGATTGTGTTAGGCATAGGGCAGTATCCCATGGTAAACCATTAAAGGGACACTCCAGTGGTCTGGGTGCCAACACCCTTAACCCTGCAAGTGTAATTAGTGCATTTTTTTTATAAACTGCAATTATTACCTTGCAGGGTTAACTCCTCCTCTAGTGACTGTCTACTAGACTGTTTCCCCTGCCGGATGACGTGGGCGGACCCAGAAGCAGCGCAGAGGGACATCATTTTTGACCCCTTCAGCAACCGGGGATGGGAGGTGGGAGGGAGAGGGGACCTGCAGTGCCAGGAAAACAATTTGTCTTCCTAGCACTGGAGAGTCGCTTTAATATAACAAGGGTTCAAAGAGAAATTCTTTACTAGTTTTATTCTTTAACATCTGTTTAATCCATTTACTCTTTATTCGATTAGTGGTATTATGTAGTGTCACACTTTTTTCCTTTACTTAGCTTGTCTTATGACACAACTTAAGTACAAATTGTGTTATCCTTCAAGAACACTTGCAGGCAAATCCGTTGCAGAGATTCACCCTAGATAGCCTAGTAGCTTGAGAAATGCATTACATTGGAAGTTTGGTTTCAACTTGTTTTAGAAACTTGTCACTGGCCTTCAGGTGGTACAGATCTCCCAGTGGAATGGGGAGCACATGGCATATTTTTGGTATCTGATTATGTTATCATAATATATTTAAAATATAACGTGCTAATTTTGTAGGAATTTTCCAACTCGCCTGTAGTAATTATTTGTATGTTTTAGCCTAAATGTTTCAGTTTTGTAGGCTACTTTAGCCTAAATATTGCAGTTTGGTTTTCCATTCATTGCAGGTAAGTATTTTGTAAATAAAACTCCAGTCCCCGTGTCTTTCCGTCTGTGCTACTTCTCTTCCTCCTGTAAGACCAGCATGCAGCTCCATCTATGAGGACCATTGGAAACCAATTATATTGGAAGTTTACTAGCCGTCATTTTCCTTCTCTTACATGCATGCTCTAATACAACAACATTTTTTTTTTTCAGCCTTCCCTAGTCTATTGTTTTCTATCAAAGCTGAACAATAGGGTTTTATTCCCTTTTCATTTTATAACTCACTATAATTTACATTTCATTGCACAGAAAGACAAAGACAGGGTTTTTGTACCTACACAAACATTTAGAAATTTCTATTGGATGGTTAATGCAGTCAATTAGAACCTGTGAAATCTGATCTAAATCCAAAAGAAGCAGGTGGCATATTGATAAAGAGGACTGTCCTTTCTCCAGTACGTTGTAGCCATTGTAATTATATGTAATACAGCATGCAGGTCAAACCAGTGCAACGGCTTCTAATGTTTCATGGATGGGCAGGTGAATGACTGGCATGTTAGTATACAACTCTACAATTAGAGTCTGCAGCCTATTGCAATACATTGAAAACTTAAAATTAGAATTATATATTGTGGAAGCCAGATTGAGTAAAAATAATAATTATAATACCAATAAGGAATGCCACTAGGTATAAAATGTGCAGCAGTTTGTCTCAAGAAGCATCCTGCACATTATGATGTAGGATAATTTATTTAATTTGGGAATAAAAGTGTGAAAGTTCTTGCTTTGCAGCCCCCACGCCCTTGTCTAATAAATCTGTGATTGTGACGTTCTTTGTTATAGTAATTTGTTCTTTTATCATCATACATGTTAACAGCAGTAGGGCTGTATGGAGCTTTCAAAACTCATTAAGCCGGACATTCTTTGCTGGCATAAGGGAAAATTGGTAATGGTTAACTGTAGTGCCATCATTCAAAATTGTTTTCCTGGCACTGTAGTGCCATCCTTCCGTGGGGCCTCTTCCTTCTATCACTTACCTGATTCCAGCACCGATGTCCCTCTGTGCTGGTTCAGGCTCCGCCTCTGCTCCTCCCCTGCTGACATCAGCTTGAGGGGTCCTAATGCGCTCAGTTTAGGTCCTCCTTCATAGGAAAGAATTATACAAAGCTTTCCTATGAAGATTAGGGTGACCCTGGATGTCCTCATGCATTACTAAACTGCAGTATTTACATTGCAGGGTTAACGCCTACCATACAGCCACTAGAGGGCACTTCCTGGTTTATAGCACAGATTTTCTGTGCTATAGCGTCGCTGGACGTCCTCGCACTATGTGAGGACCTTCAGCGTCGCTAAAATCCCCATAGAAAAAGCATTGAAAAGCATATTCAATGCTTTCCTATGGAGAAAGCATGCGCAATAGATCTCCCTTGCCGGATGACGGCGGGGGAGGAGCGTGGGCAGACCCTGACCCAGCGCTGAGGGACATCGGCTCTGGATACAGGTAAGTCACTGAAGGGGTTTTAACCCCTTCAGCAACCTGGGATGGGTGGTGGGAGGGAGAGAGGACCTGCAGTGCCAGGAAAACTGATTGTTTTCAGGGCACTGGAGAGTCCCTTTAACACTGCAAAGTAATTATTGCAGTTTATCAAAAACTGCCATAATTAGCATTGCAGGGTTAAGGGGCCTGGGGTATTGCTCCCAGATCACTTCAATGAGCTGCCTATAGTGTTCCTTTAATAACAGCTTTCAGTAACTTGCATGATCTGTTCTCATTAACACAAATACAAAAGTGTCTCTTCTTGCTAATGCATGCTCTTTTGTACAAATCCCATGATGCTCAGCCAAATCTGCTCTGCAACCTTTTGAGTTGCCATCAGTGACCTAAGATGCCAATGTTGCAGCCCCTACAGGTGTAGTGTAGTCCAGTTTGATCTCTAACATGCAGATGGATGGAGCCTATAAACAAAATGTACTAATTAATTTTCTCTCAAATCACATTTGATTTTCAGACAAAATTGGGGCTGGCATACAAGATTATTTATTTTTTTATTATTATTACAACGCAACACTAGACATCGCCAATCCTACTGACCTGCCTCCTTGATCTTCTTTGCTGAATGCACTGCATTGGCAAAATTCAATACTACTCGTACTACCATACATAATGAAAAGAACGATCCATTCTACCCATAAATTATTAATCAAGTACTTTTCCATAGATCAGGGAAAGTATCGTAAACAAACCTAAACAATTGAGGCAGTAATATTGGCTCCATTGGCCACCTGTTGTTGTGACTGAATTTGTGAAACTTTTATTACGATTACTTATTTGGCCCTCTTTTTGTTCTTCGCTATCATTTTTGTATTTGGAGTGACAGGTTAAACTGCATTGTGACACTCTGAGATATGATAATGATGTATCATCAAATAATGTTTTAGCCATTCAGTGATAGCCGTTCGGTAAACGATCAGTTTTTATACATAGTTAGCAGTTATGTGTTGTAACAGGGATGACCTTATATCTTCCTTGTTGTTGTATTTTGAAAGCACCATCCTTATCAGAAATACAATCTCGCTACATTGTAATTTTTATTTATCTATGGCGTAGACTAAGCATATGGATTAGAATAAATCCAAGTCTAGGTAAACAAACTTCTTTATATTCTATTGACGTCTGACTCTCTGAGCAGAATAAGATGCACAGTCAGTCACACAGAACCTGCATGTTTGAGTAATTGAGTCTAATTCATTTCTGTTTGTGGGAAAAAAGACAATGACATAGTCGATCATTTATTAGAAGTAGTGCACTCCCATGTATGTGAGCAATAATTGTTAGATGTAGTCCACTCACATGTGTATGAGCAATCATTACTTAATCCATGTGAATTTTAAAATTTAAGACCAAAGTAGCTGAACTGAGAGCACAGTTGACTTAGAGAATATTAACAATTCAGCTATTTTGACCTCAAATCTGAAAGTCACTTTGAAGTGTAATTTTAGTGAATAACCCTGATAGTCAATTCTTTAGATTATTCATGCAACATTATGATAAAAATGTACTGTAATATGTTAATGACCATACATTTTTCATTACAATTACTAGCTTGTGTGTTCTGTGTTCGTTTATCCACCTAGCTGCAGTGATTTGGGAAAAAATGTTTACATAAGTCTTACTTTTTCCAATTATTCTAAACTTCTCATTCATGCACTTGGAATTGTCTAGTTTATTGAGAATAACATTTCTAGAGTCAATTTGCCTAGATTTTTATAACTTCTCGTAAAAAATTTTTTTCATTCATTGCTGTAGTTAACCCTACACCTTTTTATTTCCTTGCAGGTGATTAGCCAGTCCAGAGCCAGATTTAACCCAAGCATTAGCATGATCAAGAAGTGCATTGAAGTCCTTATAGATAAGCAGTACATCGAACGAAGCCAAACCTCTGCAGATGAATACAGTTACGTTGCATGATGCTATCGTCCAGTTGGCATATGGCAGAAAGCATCACCGTTCCTGTTTTGGTGTGTTCTTGTTGAGAGAAGCAGCATTTTGCCTCCATAATCTGTCACCTGGCAACCCCTGTTTTTTCTGCTGTTTACAACATCACCAGTGCCACGTCATGAGCGTCTGTGAAAATGCCTATAAATATTTCAGGCTCATGCCATCTTGACATTTCTTACAACTCTAAACTAAAATGAGCAAAGTATTTCTGGAATGTGGATTTTTTTTTTTTTTTTTTTTTTTTTTTTCTCCTTTCATCACGTTTGCAGTTGATGTTTTTTGTTTTGTTTTTTTTTGTCCTTTTGGTTTTTTTCCTTTCTCATTTTTTAATGTATCTTAAAGAACCTAAAGTAAGAACTCATTATTGTAATATTACAGATAACCTATTAATTGTATCTACTTTAAGATGTACAAAAAAATGACAAACATGATATCGCTGCTTGTCAGATTAAAAAAAAAAATAAACGTATTGTGTACTGACATTAATATTTTATGGGCACGTGCTGTGTGCAGTGAATATAATGGATATTCTGCACAATATCTCTTAACATTAAAGGCCGCGCCATCCTTTGGCTTTTGAACGTTTGTTGTAATGTAATCTTTGTTTTCAAGCAACAATTTTTCAAACCGTGACATGGCATCATGTGGTTATAAAAGGAGACTTGTACTACCTATTCTGCATTATCAGCAATGTACATATTGTTATCAACAGAGGATCTGAGTCAAATGATTCCAGTGCTGCTGTTTACCAATTTCTAAATAGAAGTCTCTTGGTAAAAAAAAAAAAAATCAAAAGGAATTAAGTGCATATTCTTTAAACTGCAATTGTGGGTGGATTAAAAAATGTAAAACAGTAACGTAGTGTAGATGGAGAGATTTTATAACTTGTTAATTTTACACGTAGTGCTTTCATTTTAGCCTGCTAGCTAAAGTGTTACTCCAAGTTCACATCAGTGATTTTGAAGTGGTCATGGTGCTTAGAGCCTGTATGTTGGGCATTTCAGTATGACATACTGAATACAGAGATATTTACGTATTCTACGCTAAATATCCACCTCCGTCACCATCATTTGTATGTAACAAGCCAGCCTGCAACAAGAGTTCCAGGCTGGTTAATGTAAATTCTGTGCTTTTTTTCCCAATGCACAGATAGTCATGTAAGTGATCTGCTGGTGTACTCAGACAATAAATGGCCAGCTGGGTTGGTATCTGGATTCTGCATCTTAGCAGCAGTCAGGGACACAGCACCCAGCTCACAGGGACCAGTAGAGACCCAGGTAAAAAGGCAAACTGTTGGCCCCTTTGCACAGGTCCAGGCTACTCCAGGCATCATAACCACCGAAGCAGTTTTGGCATATAAAGCATGCTCCTGCTGTCTCACTGCTCAATTTTCTGCTATTTATAAGTTAAATCACTTTCAGACCTAGTCACACCTTCCTGCATGTGATTCACACAGCCTTCGTGCACACTTTCTGAAATATTGTCCTAATTTTTTTTAGCGTCCCTTAAAATGTGTTTAATTTTGAATTTATCCCCTTCTCCGTGAATAGCCTTGCAACAAAAACAGAGAACATGAGAACAAATGAAAGCTTTGAGGTATTCAGTAGCTTGCCCTTCGGTATATCCCCCACTAAGGTCTCAAAATAGTTTTTGGTCACTTTTTTGCAATTACATCATAAACCTATACCCTTGTACATATCAGACTGATTCCACCTGTAGAGTCATCCAAATCTTAAATGTAATCCACACGTGGACCCACATACCTACTGTGCCTATATTAATGTAGGTTACACCTTGCTGATGAGACCCAAAGAAAGCCAAAAAGGTTGTTTGCTGAATGTATTTTATATAATGGCTGCATAACATAAAGGCAAATTGCATCTAGATTAGCCATTTTAGTAAACATATGCTAAGTCGTAGAAATAAAAAGTAAAGAGGTCAGCCAGAATGCTGTGCCTAGAAGAAAGGTAATATTGTCACAAGGCGATTATAAAGGGTAATAAAAAAAAATAAGAAATGATCCCAAGGCACACCACGGTTTTGCACATAAAGAGTATTTATTCATGCATAGAAAATACAACAAGGCATCATTATAGCAGAGAGAAAGCACATAGTATAGTGCTAAACCAGTATATAGTACCAAATCCACAATGTAAGTAAAGTGCTAAATGCAAAAACACATTAAAAAATGTATACTGACCAAGAGCAGGAGAAATGAAACCCCAACGTTTCGGCTGTGAAGCCTTCCTCTGGTTACGAAGGGCACAATATAGCAGTCCTTTCACTGGTGGTGTTCCCATGGCAACAGCAGGTCCACCGTAAGTTCCAAATTTACAAAATAAAGGTAGGAGTGTCCACCATAGATGATATGGATTAGATTTTATCATTCTGTTCCACCAGCCGCTGCTGGAAATGTCTTTCTCCCTTAATAGCTTAGTAAGTGAACGAACGAACGGACTGACACCACATAACTGTTTGTTTGTCTGGAGAAAACCCTGAAAAGGGTGAGTTGCGACCCTTCCGATAAAGTGGGGGCGCTCCTACTGGCCCCATATTAGCATTGCCCAGTTAAAGTATTTCATGAATTTATCAAGTACATCTCTAGAAGCCTCCTGGGGTGACCTTGGTCATGCTGAAACCGCTTTCCAGTGAAAGTAGCTTAGCCTTAGTGTGGAAAAAAGGCAGCAGAGATGATGGGGGATCTTAATTGAGGATACTCTCAGGAACCTCTCCGATGTGGACATTGCAGACTCTGGCCCTGTCTTCCCATGTAGCCACTAGTGATGTCCCGAACAGTTCGCCACGGACGGCGAACATATGCAATGTTCGGTCCGCCCCCTATTCGTCATCATTGAGTAGACTTTGACCCTGTACCTCACAGTCAGCAGACACATTCCAGCCAATCAGCAGCAGACCCTCCCACCTCCTAGACAGCTCACTAAGAATGCAGCTTCACAATGAATGTAAAATGGATGCTGTCCAGGAGGAGGGAGGGTCTGCTGCTGATTGGCTGGAATGTGTCTGCTGACTGTGAGGTACAGGGTCAAAGTTTACTCAATGATGACATAGGGGGCGGACCGAACAGCGCATATGTTCGCTGTCCGTGGCGAACCGTTCGGGACATCACTAGTAGCCACACATGCTGTTATTGCTGCAAGGTAATCATTGCTGAATCTGTAGATGTTTGAGTCACTTTTACAGCCTTAGTGTCTTCCTTAACAGCAGCTATTTCGACTGTAAGGGTGGACACCTTTTTGCTGACTTATTGTCCGCTTGGAACATCACTTGTATGTCTTTCAACAGAGCTTAGAAGTCCACTTTAGTGGAAGGGGCTTCACCCCCTTGGGTCAGAGGGTGAGATGGTCGGACCTGTTTATTTGTGGAAAAGTCCAGGCTGTTCTCCTCAGATTACGCTGAGGAATAGGCCACATCACATGTCATCTTAGGTGGAGTAGGCCCAGAGCTGGGATCTAGCCAATGCTCTGTAGGTGAATACTGACCAAACTAATCTGTAGTGATGAAGTGAAAGCACAGTGTGAGGTACTATTATTGGGCATAAAGCTCATATGAGATATGTCCATCTCGAATGAGTGCTGGCTCCCTCTTTCCCCCCCCCATGTAAATTTTATTAAATCTTCACTACTTTAGTGAGTTTAACAGGTTAATAAAGAAAACTTGATTTGCATGGGGATGTTTCTGGGATCTGTAGTTCAATAGTTCGAGAGTCAGTGATGTTGTTCCCCTAGGGTTTTAGAAACTGAAGTTGTTCAGTTCAGCATAAAACATAGAAACCGGGTTAAATAGAAGAACATTCATTTGTAAAACTCTGGTTATACTGATTACAGATACCAATTATATATTTTATCATCTATCATCCTGCAACACCTTGACTGGACATCATAAGAGAACAATTTCGACGATCTAAAGAATTCGGCAGTAAGTTCAAAAAACTTTTTTCAGGACATAAAAATTCCTGTTTATGAACAGTTATTTTAGGTTTATTGATAAAAATGACCTGCTACATGTGTAGAAAAAGTATTGTTTGCTATGCCAAAATTGCTTATTTATATGCGTTTAATGAGGCTTGGCGTTAATGTTAAAGAGATATGTTGGTGCACTACAGGTTCAAAAGTATAGTCAGAGAATCTTATTGACTATTGGCCATAAATCACTGTTAACATGTCTTTTGGGCACATGTATGGTGTTGGTCAGTTATATACAGGGAGTGCAGAATTATTAGGCAAATGAGTATTTTGACCACATCATCCTCTTTATGCATGTTGTCTTACTCCAAGCTGTATAGGCTCGAAAGCCTACTACCAATTAAGCATATTAGGTGATGTGCATCTCTGTAATGAGAAGGGGTGTGGTCTAATGACATCAACACCCTATATCAGGTGTGCATAATTATTAGGCAACTTCCTTTCCTTTGGCAAAATGGGTCAAAAGAAGGACTTGACAGGCTCAGAAAAGTCAAAAATAGTGAGATATCTTGCAGAGGGATGCAGCACTCTTAAAATTGCAAAGCTTCTGAAGCGTGATCATCGAACAATCAAGCGTTTCATTCAAAATAGTCAACAGGGTCGCAAGAAGCGTGTGGAAAAACCAAGGCGCAAAATAACTGCCCATGAACTGAGAAAAGTCAAGCGTGCAGCTGCCGCGATGCCACTTGCCACCAGTTTGGCCATATTTCAGAGCTGCAACATCACTGGAGTGCCCAAAAGCACAAGGTGTGCAATACTCAGAGACATGGCCAAGGTAAGAAAGGCTGAAAGACGACCACCACTGAACAAGACACACAAGCTGAAACGTCAAGACTGGGCCAAGAAATATCTCAAGACTGATTTTTCTAAGGTTTTATGGACTGATGAAATGAGAGTGAGTCTTGATGGGCCAGATGGATGGGCCCGTGGCTGGATTGGTAAAGGGCAGAGAGCTCCAGTCCGACTCAGACGCCAGCAAGGTGGAGG